ATTAACTTTCATCATATGTTTAGGTTTTATTCCAATTATAATCTTCAGTTTTTAAAATAAACATTGCTGAGGAGTGAAGATAATTAAAATAATAGGGGTGTCACAGGAAAAAACCGTCCATTTGATATTGTCTTATTTGCCAAAGTTTCTATCTTTTACAGCTGATGTCATTCAAAGACAATGAGTCAAATTCATGGGAATAAAGTTTTTCATTTTTTTATCTAGTTTTTTCTTCAGTCAAAAATTTTTCTTTTTGAAAATTAATCTAAATTTTTCAAATATTTTCTGTGTCCATGGATATATATATATACAGTGTAACCCAGATATAAGAGACCCGGATATAAGAGAAACCCGGATATAAGAGAGATTTTCTCTGGTCCCAAATTAGAGCCTGTGTTAATGTATATAAAATAGACCAAACCCGGATATAAGAGACTTCTTCTCCGGTCCCGACAACTCTCTTATATCCGGGTTACACTGTGTATATATATATATATATATATATAGCGTGTATGTTTTTGTTAATCATTTCACTCCAAGCAAAGTAACAATGCCACTAACACACAGGAGGTTGCTGAGTGTAAGAGAATATGAGAAAAATATACTATTAAGGGGAGAGGAAATGTAAAAGAACAGGAATAAAGAAGACAGAAGATAACAATTGACATTCCATTTAAATTTTTGAAGATCACTGTTGAAGCCAGATAAGATTTCCACAAGCAAAAAGTACAAGAGAAGAAACTGTTAGCATAGAACCTTGGGTTACATTTAGCCATTTTGATTGGCGGCAAGATCTCATCATTTTACAATCTAGCAATGCACTTAAATTCATAGAGCCTAAGTACCATAGAGGAAAGTTCATCAGAATATTTACCATGAAAGTATTTATAGAAAGGGGCTACATTACGGTGATGGGAAAGTGACTGAAACCAAGATACTAAGTCAGGACCAATAATATTGCAGATTTTTGTTTGGATTTTATCAAGGATCTCTAAATATATAGCAGCAGCACCAGACCATATATGGCAGCAATATTCTAAGCATGGATGAATGGTATACTTAATATTGGATTTTTATTTGAATGAGACAATAAGTTTAAAAATCAAAAAACGAATCAACTCAAGATATGCGTATGAGTCGTATGAGTCAAGGGTTGCCAATGACAGAATTGCAAACATTTATTTGCTTATTTATGTGTTGAATTTTAAAACAAGTGATTTTATCATTTATTAAGATATTTATCATGGAGGAAAATCTTGATTTACTTTTTTGTCAGAATCAGAGATTGACCTTCTTAGGGAAAATGGTGGCAAAGTAGAGAAAATAAAATCTACTAAATAATAAGGAACATAAATTATTCAGTATATAAGCAGCTTAACAGTTTCTACAAGTCTTGAGGGAAGAAAATTCTACAGGATTGAATGAACATATTTATTCTTAAATTTGAACATTTTTTTAAAAGTAATTCATTGTTTATTTAACAAGAAAAATAAAGCTCCTTTTTTGCATTTTGGCAAAAGCTATAAAAAAAGTGCTACATCTGTTCAATCATAGTTACATTTGTATTTGTATTTCATCTGCAAAACCTAACAACTGTTATTTGTTGGTATCACAAGAATTGGGTGCGTTACAATGAAAATAATGCTATCCTCAGTTTTCAAAAATCAGAGGATTCTCCAATTTAAAAGAAATGTTTACTACTGGTACAGTACTTAATTTTATGTTGAATAGGTCAACAAGTTTTAGAAAACATTGTGGAAATATTTTGGGGTCAGTCCTTATCCCCAATTTTGATTGTGTGTGTGTAACTTTTTTTATAAAGAAAATTTTATTTCAGTAAAAAAAATATGCAGTATCAAGTGTGAACTGAAAATTTGTGCCGAACCTTAAAAATGATTCAATAAAAGTGAAAAAAATATTTTTTTTGCTAAGAGCTTATGCTTGAATGATTGAATAAAATATATTATTTTCTTTGATAGGAAAAAATCTATGACATTTACTTTTTTAAATTTTACTTGTAATTTTCAGTGTGATTTTGAAATTCATCCAGTTGCTCTGTGCAGAAATACCTTTTCTTTTTTTGTTCAGGGTTAAATAGCATGTAAGTAGGCATGTTTTCTGTGTGCTTCAACCGTGGGGCAGTGGTTAGACAGCTAGGTTCGAAAATTTTCATTAACTGATTTAGTGAGTTCGATTCTCAGTGTCTACCTGTGAGATGTAAACTCTGAATTCAAGGGAGATAATTCATATACGATTTTCGAGAGTTATTACCCCTAATAGAAATTTCTTCTAAAAAAAGAAAGTCTGGTGGAACTTTTTTTAAAAAAAACTAAACAAAAAACTTTTTAATCACCGTTATAGTAACATACTGAACTAGTTGTAAGGGGTCTGAATTGGCAATGAAATAGGAAGGGTTATTGACCTCGATGCCCAAGGATAATTTTGAAATCACGTACCCATGGAATCTTACACCCTTTCTTTTCCGCCATCTCCGCTTGAACTCGGGAGGTATGGATTATATTTTTTAGAGAGTGAATACTATTGCTGCCGACAGACTTTAACCACTGCTCCACGACAACTGCCCGCTTCGCTCTTATCAATTTATTCAATTATAAACTAATTGATTGAGCATAAAATTTGGTTCTTCCCTTAGTCTGGTTGCTCTACCAAGGTTACAGCGCCCAGTCTACTCTACAATTTCACTGACAACTGAGGCGAGAAGAGATGGATTCATGCCTTTCCCAAAGTATTTAGTGTAAAAAGTAAACGTAAACAAACTCGGCTAGAACTTGAAAACTCGCCAATTCGATTTTCCGCGCTGCTAACCATTATTACTTCACCCACACATCCACGGTTGTTAGTAAAGATACTGAGAGCTGTGAATACCTCTCGTAAGGGCGGTGTAACAATTTAGAAAAACAAACTCGTCGGACCGAGTTCGCATTTATTTATAATTTCTATCATTCTAGTTCTAAAATTCGGAAGACGAAGAATTAAAAAAATAAAAATTAAAAATCATTTTAAATAAAAAATTTAAATTCTGTATACACGTTAGGTATCAAGGGAGATTATATATATATATATATATATATATATATATATATATATATATATATATATATATATATTCATATATATACATAATAGCTCTGTTATGTCACATTAAGCAGTGTTTTTTATAGCACCCGAGAAAGAAATATATATGTACGTACAAGTATACGTATATGTATGTTTTTATCATATCTATATATTAAAAAATTCGCATCGCATGTCTAGCCACACTGATGAGCTGTGATACAGCTAAACAGTCTATCTATCTATATATCTATCTATCTATATATATATATATATATTCATTCATATAGCCTGACGTGTTATACCAGTTTAGCTACGAAGGAGCGTCTGTTTAGCCCCTCGATTTTACTGCTTTTAAACTACAATTTTTCATTATTTCCCTCGAACGTCCATATCTGCTCGAAACTTATCTTAACGTAAACAAATAACGTCACACCCTACGAAATGGACTAAGTCTGACAATTATTTTAATATATTTTATTGTTAGACGTTATTTATATACACACATATATAAGTAAATGATCTGTTTATAATAAATAGTATTAACAACATTTACCGACCTGAACATCCGAGAAATTTCGTAGAAAATATGCGTCCTCCAACAGGAATCGAATCTGTTTATTTAGCATACATAAAAAGGTCATTAGTGACATCCCGACGTGTCTCGCTAGAACAATTACAACTGTAGTAGTGAGTTTAATCCTTACTCAGTACCCCACACTTTCGGTCCTGTGGCACATCTAAGCTATGCTTAGAAAATAACTATAAAAAGGTCATTTTGGGGCAAAATCGTCATCGGTGATATAAAAAAAAAAGTAAACAGAAAAAAAAATTGGGACTCGATCCAGGGAAAGATTCCACGTTAAACTCAATCTTTCACATGTTTCACTTCATTCACTACGATTTGTCTGAGAAACGGAAAAAAAATGCTCGAAGAATCCACTGAGGCAAACCCGGAATCGTTCTTTTATGATCCAATACACATTTTCACTGAAATGTGGCATAGTGTCATAAAAATCTACGGAAAATACGTTGATGATTGAAAAATGATATAAATTTATATTTGATATTTTATTTTGTTTTTAATGAAAAATCAAGCGCTGGAAACTTTCGCATTAACCTGATATAAATACTCTCACATTTCTTTAGAATCTTTATTTTGATTAAATAAAAAAACAAACAAATCGGAAATCCTTTATAGACTTGACATGTCTCGCCATTTTATTTTAGCTTCATCAGAAATTGTTTTTGGAAATCCGATTCTAATGAAGCTAAAATGAAATAATCAAATTTATGAAGGCTTTCCGATTTGTTTCTTATTCAATGATTACCTTACCTCAGGTCTCGTGTAATGACCCGGCAAGGTGGGGTTGTTGTTGTTGTAGTAGTAGTAGTAGTAGAAGGAGAAGAAATGCTGTTTTGGAGTCCTCCGGTTGAAAAGATTCCTGGAATCCCATGCCTTAAGTTAAAGAAATGTAAAAAAAACAACACATAATGTAAAATTATGCGTGTTTTTGTTTTTAAAGTGGAAAATGTCACGATGCCATTTTGACCTTAGGTATCTGGGCAGGACCGGAAAGAAATGTGATTTGAAATAAAAGATTATTTCTACTACTACTATTATTATTATCATTATTATCATCATCATCATCATCATCGTCGATAGTATTTTAGACGTTGATAAATTTTGGAGTCAAAAGTTTGTAAAAAACGAAAATATTTTGATACAGCTTAACATTTTCTGTTTATATAATGAAAATTTCTTAAATATTTAACCGTAAGCTTTTTAATCAAACAATACTTTTTTTTTATTAACACATATTTTTATTTATTTATTTTATTTTTCTTTTTCTGAACGGATTTCAGGTAATTGTCATGCCTTTCTAGACAACATTGCTTGCTATTCAGATCGAAATTTGTCCACTTCAAGACATATTCCACGACAAAACAGGTTTGCCTAACAGGCTGGAGAGGTTCAGCATTTGTGCCTGTTTCTCTTTTAAGAGATTCGGACTGATTGTGAAAGATTTCGATCGGTGTAGGACCTGTTCGGCAAATGCTTTAACCAGAATTTCGCATTCCTCCCGCGTGAAGGTCTTGGGAGGATCTTTCAAAGAGAGAACGGTCCACTTGTCGCCAGGTTTCTGAAGACGTCGGCAGACCGTGTTCAATAAATGATTGATGATTTTCTTTTGGTATTCCTTAGATTCATGAAAACACGGATCAAAATAGATTATTCGTTTGGTCAACGGCAGAATCAACGTCAGAGACGAATGGCCGGCGAACTGGCAAAGACAAGATGTCAGAAAATCGCACGAAGATGGACATTTAAATCCGATCTGAGGATGCTGCTCCGAGAGAGACTTTAGACTTGGTAAATCTGTATCAAGAAAACCTTTTATTGCACCTTGATACTGAGTCAGCAACTTAGGAAATGTGGCATTTGGAGATGGCACCGATGTCAGTGTTCTATTTCGTTTCCCCTTCCGGAGAACATTGTAACAACGTCCAAGAGAATTAGTGAAGACACAGCTTCGTGAAGGTTCAGAAATCCTGTTAAGATGGTTGTATATTCCGTTCGGTGGCTTAGAAGCTATTCCAGACTTTTTATTACGAATTGAATAGAATTTTGAAAATTGCATTTCTTCGTATTTTTTTAACAAAGATTCTTTATATTTGTGAAATATCGCACTGTCCAGTTTTGGAATCTGGTAAAACGGTTTCTGGTCTTTAAATGGTGAATAGTTTTTCAGTGTCATAAAATAAAACATAATTGTTTCCATCAACCATTTTCGGTGGGAGGTGTTGTTATCGCATAGCATCGTTTTCTCACTGTTTATTTTATCTGTGAATATAAACCACTTTTTAAACGAATTTTCCATCTCTGGAATAACCCAGAAATTGTTTTCCTTTCGAGAAACGTCTTTCTCTGGTGAAAACTGTAGCTTCTTATCTGGTTGAACTCTCGTTAAGCAAGAATGATCCTGAAAGTCCAAAAGCGAGAAAAGATATTTTTTATTGTCTTGAACTTTTGAGACCAGAGATCGTGCCCAAGGAGAGACCCTCCAAGAAGTTACCATTTCAAGATAACATTCCTTCAAGATGCTTTTCGTGTCAATAAAAAAAAGAAACGAAACTAGGATTATAAGCACTCTGAAGAGGCCAACATCTTTGGCTGTGTAAATGCATTCCTCTAACTTAAAGGAAACACTGTCCAGCCAAATGGACGTCATTATTTTTTGCGATCAAACAATTGCGTTCATTTGAAAAAGCATTTAAACACATTTGATTCTAACGGCGCTAATGAATGACGTCTTTCCGAAGAGTTCATTTAACATTTAGATCAGTCGATTATTTGGTACAATCGAACTTCTTTATTATTTGATTAAACTGCAACAATTCAATTTAATCTGAATCGGCAGATTTTAACGAAAGATTGGCGAGCTTAGTTTGTGTGAACGGAGTTAGTCTCGATTTTCTTTTTTAGTCGCCTTTTGACACAACGATGTTTTCCTGTTGGGCCTCTCCCCTGGTTAAGTAAGATTTACCTAGTTAATTGTTGTTCTCGGCCTGCTTCTGGCATTCTCTTTTATTATGATGCATGTCAAGATTTCCAACCTCCCCAGTTTTTTTTTCCACCCCCCCTTTTTATCTTGATTGGAATTCTTTACTTCCTGATTTATTTTGTCTCTTCCTTGCCCCTAGCGATTGAACTGTTTGATTGTGCTTAGCGGTAGAATACAGTGGGCACTCATTTTTCTATGAGGTGGACGGGTCCTACTAACATATTTTAATTTTAGTTTGAATGTTTTATATTTTATTTTCGTTATAAGATACACCCCCACTCATTTCATATCATATTTTTATATATTTAAAACAAAAAAAAACAAAAAAAAAAAAAAAAAAAAAAAAACAAAAACAAAAAAAACAAAAAAAAAAAAAAAAACCCCAAAAAAACAATTGTATATATTTTCATGTCATGGGTATTTTAGTAAGGTCCCTGCGAATATGTGGTATTATGGTATGTGTTGTATTGAATGGCGATAAATGAGTTCTTGTGGTGTATGAGTAAACTGTAATGAATGAATGGATTGTGAACCAGATTAACTCTGTGTAGGATAGTCAGTGACGACCAACCATTCCCCCGCACCTTTTCGTCCTGTGCCACATAAAAAATTATATTTCAAGATAAAACAATTCAATTTCAACTGAATGTCTGCTACCAGGAGATTGATTTCCAAGAAACCGGACAAATTTTGTTTTCTTCACCAAGTACGCATGGGTACCCCACAGTAAAAAAAAAAAAAAGAAAAAAAAAAGAAATAGAGAGACAAAGAATGCTTTATGCCATGAAGTGAGATTATGTCTAAATCACATTCAATTAAATCTGGTCAAATAAATTATGTTGCTTTCATAATCAATTGCAGAACAGTGCAAGACAATATCAAGAGAGCAAAAGTGACTTACTCTAAAAGTCATTCGGAGCAGACTTAAACGACAACAGACAGGACATATTGCAAGAAAATCTGACAAAGGTTGGATATTAGTGAATCACTCATGATCATTAGCAAAAGTGTAGTCAGCAAAAAAAAAAAAAGGAAGAAAAAACAAGATGGCATGATGATTTGGCTAAGTTCAGAATTTTTTTTAGCACTTTGACATTGAATAGAACTTGCAAAACTTTACAGAAGTCATTTGTCCAACTATGGACTTTAAAGGCTGATTAATAGGATTTCAAATCTCACATCAGTGAAATAACATTTTATAAATAAAAATTCCCACAATATAAAGGAAAACCAAAAATGTCTGACAGTTTTGTAAGATATTGTTGGGTTAGGAGTAAAGATATTTTGTCCCCGAAACCAAGCCGGGTCTCAGGGTCATCATCAGTTGGTGTTTGTAATTATATGACAGACCTTTATTTAATGAGAATCATATGCTAATCATGGGTGTTCCACCATTAGTAAGTTACTTAGCACATCCATTATGCCCTGTCATTACTACCAGATAAATAATAGACCATCCCTTTTTGCTTGCATAGGGAAGATAGAAGAAACATTGTTTGGTTTTAGTGAGAAAAAGAAAGTATATGTAATAAAATAAAGTATATGTATTAAAAAGAAAGAAAGAAAGGAAAAGGAGGCAATAAATTTCTCATGTGTTTAATATGTTTCAGTAAAATGAAACATATTAAACAATTGTCAATTTTTAATCTTTTCATTTCTAAGATTCAAATAAAGACCTGCATTCATATTTATGACTAGCAGTAGAGCCCGGCGTTGCCTGGGGATGTAACAGTAAGAGATAGATCAAGTATCGACCATCATAAAAACTGAAAAATAAAATTGACAAAGATTATTGTTTAAGGTTGACGGACACGCATGTCTTAATTAGTTTTTTTTTTTTTTTTGAATTGATCAAACCCAAACTCAAACAAAAACATTGTTTTCAATCGTTATGAGTCTACCGATTGAATAGAATTTTATTATTAACAATTGTCTTGTAAATGGAATTTTTAAAGCATTCTGAATGTAAAAATAAAGAAAAAAGTGTGCAAGACAATAAGAAACACTACCAGCCAAAAAAAGTGAAGTTTTGTTGAAATCGGTTAAAAAATCCGATCACATATATAAACGAACACACACACCCACACACAAACAACCAACCTGGATTTTATAATAAGTATAAGTCGATAACACGATATTAATAAGTATAACTCGATATGAGTTGTCCCCCTTTCATTAATGCCTCTTAATCATGTTTTCAAATTGATTTCGTGCAAAAACAATTGTGTTTTTCCAATTTTTGGTGCTGTTAGAACCACCGCAAGGTAATTTTATGTAGTCCTGTGAAGTTTTGTTGAAATTGGTTGAAAAATGTAGGAAATCCGATCCAATATATAAACGTACAGACACACACAATCTGCGTTTTATAATAAGTAAGATTATTGCTGCAATATATGTTGCAAACCTCCAGGAGAGGGACATATTGTGCCTTCTCGGACTAACGTTTTCTGCAGACATAAATTGGAACGATTATATTGAATCAATTGCTAGGGAAGTTGGTTCATTGTGACAGTTTTTCTCATCAGAATCTATCTTACATATTTCTAAGTCTATTTATCCTTGCTTTGAATATTGCTGCCACATCTGGTCTGGTGCTCCTGCTATATATTTAGAGATTCTTGATAAAATCTAAAGAAGAATCTGAAATGTTATTGGTCCTGACCTGGCATCTCGGCCTCAGTCGTTTTTGCACTGATGTAACATTGCTTTCCTATATTTTCTATTGTTTTCTATAAATACTTTCATGGTAATTGTTCTGATGAATTCTCCTCTAGTTGTTATTTTTATTAACTCCCACCCTCCTGACAAATTGCTCATATAGGAACGAGATAGGACTTATTAGGGAAGGTTTGAGGTATTATGGTGGCTGTATTAAGAATGGTAAGTAAGAATGTGCTGTTTTGGTGTAAGAAATATGGTGGTAGGTTTGGGTTAGTAATTATGTCTAGCTAAGTTTAAGACAAGACAGATTGAAGACCAGCCTTTCCCTGTCCCCCATTTTTGGCCTTGTGCCACATTTTTGTATTTTCAAAACAGATATTACCTTCTTCTGTAGTACGTAGACTTTATGAATTTAAATGCAGTACTAGACTGGTGGTGTTGCCTCATCATTTTACAGTTGAAATGGCTAGATGTAATTATAAGTTCTATGCTAAACAGTTTCTTCTCTCACACTTGTGGAAATCTCTTCTGACTTCCCAGTCAAGTTTGATTTTCAAAAATTTAAAAATACAATGTCAATCACTATTTTATGTATTCTTAATTGTTGTCCTTTTATTGTTCTCTCTCCTTTTTTATTATTCTCTCACTCAGTAACTCCTTGTGTCTTACTGGATTTATTTCCTTGCTTGGGGTGAAATGATTAAAAAAAATTACTTATCAAGCTCATATATTTAATGATACAATAGAAGAATTTCCATGGGGTGGTTTTATAGTCATGGAACTCACAAGGAGTTTATTTAATCATTACCTTAAGAATTAAGATTTATTAGGAACTTCAAATAGGAAAACCATGAAAGTTTCTCAGGTAAAATTCACTGTTGATGATGTGATCTTTTATTTTTTTCTCTAAAGAAAAAGCCAAATGAAATGTTAAAACATGAATGTTGTCTATGATTCATTGCCATTCTGTTTGACATGGCACCTGGTTAAAAATTTGACAGACAAGAAATGATTAAACTTTTCTTTGCCATAAAAACACATTCTGAGCAATATGGACTCTGAACTTAGTCTCTTTTTGAGTTGTGACACTGGGAAATGTAATTTCTCTGTCTTAGGTAAAGAGCACTGTTTATTACTGTTTAGGTAGATATCTGTCGTTTGGTCTTGGTTCATGTTTCATTTTCCAAATTTTGTTTTTTTATTGGTTGCTAGTTTTTCTTTGATCACCCGGTAGAATTTCTGTTGGTTTTACCAATGCTTTGAGTTTTTGTGGTGCATATATATGAGATGACAATATATATCAAGAATGGTATTAGGGAAATTGTATGACAAAGTGGAAAAAGTTTATTTTCTTCTTTGATCAGAATAGCATAAATGTTGTTACTACAATAAAAGACTTAGTCAATACTAAACAAAACATTAAGCTAAAACCTGAAGGAGGAATTTGCTTCATCACCTGTAATAATTGTCACAAAAAATACATAGGAGAAACCTCAGGTAATTGAAATGACAGATTATATGAACACAAAAGGGACATTTTACAAAATAATACATCAAATATGTTGGTTGCTCATCATAATGAGACTAACCACAACTTTGACAGAAAAATGCTACTTTGATCAAAGGGGAAAACACTTTGCTACAATGTAAATGTCTAGGAGTGCCTTGATCACATGGTCATCAACAGTAAATTTGAATCCTGGCTCTTATATTTCACCATTCCTGGCAGATCTTTTAATATCACTTTGTGGAATATCTACATGCAAAAGTGATGGAAAAAAAAAAGAAAAAGACTCTAAACGAATTTGGTTAGATAAAAAAAATTCTAAAATTTGCATCACCCCTCTGTTGTTCACATGTGTCATCTTACCAACATAACAAAATTTATTACAATGAAGTCTTGAAGGATGAAATACATCACAAGTAAACTTTTTTCCACTTTGCCATACAATTTCTCCAAAAAATATATATATATATATATATATATATATATATATATATATGTGTGTGTGTGTGTGTGTGTGTGTGTGTGTGTAATTATTCATCTATTTATTTATATACATTTTTACTTAATTTTTAAAGGTCATTAGTTAAAACATTTTCTTTTAACTTTTTATGGTCATGCATAAATATATTGGCTTGAGAAAGGAAATATTTGAAAAAAATCAAGTGTAAGTTAATATTTTGGTAAGAATCAATAATTTCACTTTGAAGAACTTTTTGTCTGAGTCATTCATTATCTCTTTTAAAAAAGTACAGCATTTGGAATTGTGGCTGAAATTATTTCTATGTATAATCAATTCATAGGATAAATTGTTATTCTTATGTTCATAAATTCCGCTTCTGCATGTTTCACCAATATATCATAACAAACCGTTATTAGAATTTATTTTATAAAATCGGCTTCAGAATTATTGTTATTATCAACATTTTAAATCATTTCTCTTTTGTTTTATCAACTTGACCACCATGATGTTGCTGCCATGATTATTGCCCCTTTTCTGGATAAGGGAAGTAATTTTTTTTTTTTTTTGCAAATTCCCTTATTTTCTGAATCAAATTAACTTTTTTTTTTTAAGTTTAAATCTTTCTGTGTCAATTACTTTCATTGAACCTTCTTAGGCTTGAGCTGACAGGAAAGTTTTTGACACATAACGATAGAACTTAGATTCCTTCAAAATAATCATTTTGAAATCAAAGATGTAAAAAATTCTCACTGAAAGTGGCAAGTGATATCTTTGAAGAATGCTGAAAGTTGTTATGTAGAAAAGAAATTTACAAAGTAGTGATACTATTTTGTGTAAAGATAGAACCAAACACTTTTGCTTTATAGCCATGTTTTGCTGGTAGAAGCCCCCAAAAAATGGGGAAAATATAAAATGAGGAAAGAAATGAATTTCAAAAAAAAAAAAAAAAAAAAAAAAAAAAAAAAAAAAAAAAAAAAAAAGAAAGAATATTAAAACGTTTATTATTTTGAAATCTATTCATTCTTGGCAAGTTTCATTCTAAGAAAACAAAAGATCTTTTTTCTCAAATTTACAGGGGAAATTAAAAATAGTATTTTAGAAATAAAAGTTTCTAGGTTTGTCTTTGCCAAAATCTTTTCCTTGTAGTTTCAACATATTCACTCGGCTTTCAAGTTTATAACTACAAACAAATTCTGTAGTAAAGCAGTTTTAACTTCTTTTTCTTCACCTCCATTTCTTCAAAGCTTCATTTATCTCCTGAATCTATAATATCTGACAGTTGGTAAAGATCTTCTTGTGTTGTCAGTTGACTAGAGAAGAAACTTTGCATCTGACCAGTTGCCTAAGAAGAGGAAAGAAAAATTGCATGAAAACCAGAATTTTTTTTTTAGAATTCTTTTTATTTTATAGAGTTTAAAGATGCAAGAAAGATTTCATTTCAAGGCATGAAAATCAGAAATGAAAGATGTTATATAAATAAATATCAATGATCATAAAGTTGTTTTTCTTTTTAACTTAGTAAAAATATTGTCATCAATTTGACAAGAATTATTCATTTTAACAATTTCTCATGACAGTGGATGGGTGTAGGCAACATTTATTTTGACACTGACACAGATTTTAATCAATCCTCCTGAAGGATTGTCTAATTATTTACAATCTTTTAAATTTATAAAAGATTGGGAAATTCTTTAAGAAAACAAAACAAAGCCAATATTTCTAAAAAAAAAAAAAAAACCTTAATCTTAGACATAAAATAAAAATAAAATTGATACATCATTACAGATTAGCTGTTTATGTCACCTGTAATATCATGGACAGGGTTCATGAAATGAATCCATTAAAATATTTTATTCAGTAACACTGAATCATTAGCAGAAGGCAATAATGTGAAACAATAATCATAGTTATATTTTAGCAATAACTAAATTTGAACCTGGTACAAATAGGCAAAGTTTATTAATTATTTTTTTGTTTTAGTAAAAAAAACAAAAAAAACCACTGCCTGCTGTCATTACTTTAACTCTTTATTTTCAGTATTAATGAATTAAATATTTTTGGTAAGAAGGAATAAAAATGATTCAATACCGAGTTTTTCAAATTTCAATACTTAACCAGGGGTAGGGTGAGTTATCAGCAGTCAGAAATCAAGATTAGTATTACAAATTGACACGGAACCAGGGGTTAGGGAGAGGCTATTATATAATATGTATTATGTCTTGATTTTTATCCAAATATAAATGATAAATGTTGGGTATATGTTTTTTTTTTTTAAATATTTAAAGATCATGCTTACTATTATGTCACTTGACAAATGAACGGTTCAGTCAAGATTTCATACTTGTAAAACCACCAGTGATCATCTTAAATATTTAATGATTAATAATCAGTTGAATTTTGCAAGGTAGTTTTTTTTCCTGAAAGTCATTGACTCCATAGATGTTTTATATCCTTTTCAAACAAAATGTTATTTTTTTTCCCTCCTCAGTTGATATGATATCTTATGAGACAATGAAATAATTTTCATAGGGTTTAGTCTTTCAGGGACTCAGATTTAAAAGTTTGAAAAAAAAAACAAAAAAAACTTTATAAGCAAATAACGACAGGAATGTCTGATCAGAATCAAAATTTGGATTTGATTTTCTTGTTTGTAAATGAACTGGTTTTAGCCAAAGATTTTCCTTTGAAGATTAGCGAAATACTTCTCAAATAAGAACTTTGGGGAAGAAGTGAATATTTCTAAAGAAAAACAATATAGTATCAGGACTGTTGCCTAGTTTCTGGAAATTTACATGGAATAGACAGGAGATAAGACAAAAGATTACAGTCTAGATTAAAGAAACAAACCAATAAACATCAACCAGTAAAAAACAGTATTGTTGATCATATTATAGAATATGCAGAAGAGAACAGCAAGTCTTTTTTATTAATTAAAATTGTATAGCAGGAAAAAAAAAAGAAAAAAAAATTAGCAAAAAAAAAATAATTTCTAGTTTTAGTTTTCCTAATAAACATTTCAACTGAACTGAAATATTTGAAAATTTTCAATTAACAAAAGCTTACTGTTTTGGGTCTTTGTATCATTTTACGTCTTTCAGTTGTACGAGCATCTTTGGGATCTACTGTTAGAGATCGTTTCTTTGCCCAACCTGTTCGTGTTGACCCATTACTTGTAGATGAAAAGGAATGACTGGGAAGAGCAGTAGATCGACCAGAACTCTGCCTTGACCTGTCTGGAATTATAAAAACAAGAAATATCAAAATTTTAAGAAAAGAAAATATATTTCCTATGGAAATGGCTTTGGGGCACAATCCTTGTTTTTACCATGACTTTTTTTTTTATATTTTCATATTAGGTTAGGGGTTGTTGTTTGAAGCTGAGAAAGTGCCGATGATAACAAACAAAACCTAAAAGTGTTGAATTAGTTGAGAAAATAGACAGACAAAAGAGTGAAACAAAACTATATAAAAATATTTATAAAATATTTATTCAGCTGGCAACATTTTCATGCCAAGAAAGTTTCAAGAAATCATCCTGAAAGAAAGTGCAAATTCTAAGAATGTTCTTAAGGATCAAGAAAAAGTTGAACGTATTCTGCTGGTGAATTAGAGTGAGTGATGTGTATAATCAAAGCCATGTGCAGCTACTGTGTATAGAGCAATAATTTTGGCATCCTATCCTACAGTAAAAGAGAGCTAGCCTCTTCAGATTTACAGCACATTTTTATGCCTACCCAAAAGCTGAAAAGGAGTTGTCCCAGTGATATGTGTCAAATGAAAAGATTTAACATTCTGCTACAGGCTCCTGGCAGGCTATTGAAGTTAAGTAGGGATGATTCTGCTCAATCTTTAAATGGTTGACCTTTTAGGAACTGCTGGTGCAAGAATCAACTTGAGGCTCATGTGCTAGACAAAACATAACCAAGTAATTAGGCACAATCTAGAAAAAAACATATTGAATATCAATTTATTGAGATGTAAATATTTATACTTAGCTACAAAACATATTCATTCTACAGTTGCAAGTTACCTTACTACCCAGGGATTCATTAATCATTCCACTGGGATGGCAAAACCATGTCACTATTCAATGAAAATAAAAGTTAAATTTTTGGCATGATTGGAATGCACTAAATATACAGGATTTATTTTTTTTTATTTATTTATGATGTATTGTCAATCATTAATCAATTTTGACTAGTATTTCTTTTATCTTAATTTGATTGCTTTTTTTAAAGATCTTATTAAATGAATAAAATTTTATCAATTCTATAAAAATAGAAATATTAAAAAGGGATACATGTAAACTAAAAAAGTGAAAACAAAAGTAACGACATCCACTGCAAATGGTAGTAAGAAAGGAAAAAAAAATTATAAAATCAGCTCTTGACATTATGGAGGATAGCTTTCAATACATATCTGACCAGGATTTATTATTGATGGGCAGAATCATAACAGTATAAAATACACAGACGACACTGTGTTGATGGCCAACTTGGAAAAAAAAACCCTGAGAAAAAAGGTTAACCATTAACTGCAAAAATATAGAAAGTCTGGTGATGAGAAAGAGAAAAAGGTGATGAGTTCCAAATTGGAGATGTCAGTATCAAGCAGGTGCAGAAATTTAAATATTTGGGAAGTGTTTTAACATAGGCTGGAAAATATGACACAGAGATCCAAACCTGCATTGGTCAAGCAAAAGAAGCATTCCAAAAAGCTAAGCAACGTGTGGAAATGGAAAAGATTAGAAAGAAAGAAAAGAGTGCAGGATTGCTATGTGATATCTTTCCTCTTATATGGCAGTGAATGTTGGACAATCTCCTCACGAATGAGGAAAAAAAACTAGAGGCAGCAGAAATGTGGTTCTACAGAAGGATACTGAAAATTCCATGGATGAAATGAATAAGCAACAAGAAAGGAGGGCTTGGAAAACTTAACTCTCACACAGCATATTGAGGGCAAGAGAGATAGGGGAAGTTAGTGAACCACTTACCTGACAAGCTTGTGTCAATGGATGTTGAAACGTGGGGGGGAGTGCTTAGCAAAAGGAGGAAAACTGCTAAGAGCCACACAGGATAGAATGTCATAAGGAACGATGGTCGCCTATGTCCTGAAGGGACACGGCACATAGAAGAAGAATAATGTCAAGATATATATCTCATCACATATATTTTTGTTACACCATACCTATGGACAATAATGAGTATGTCCCAATCCCTATAAATACAGTGGTATATACTGTATGTTTTCTTCCACTTGTGATTCATCTTGATTCACTTCTAGCTCACCACTAACCATTGGTTACTTACTACACACCGTTAGTGAATCTTGTATGTTGTTTCTGTTATAAATATTATTGTTCAATTTCCAACCTTCATTTTGGTTATACTTATTCAGTAACCTTTTCCTAGGTTACAACAATTTTTAAAGAATTTTAAAATTCCTAAAAACTTAATAAATCAGAAGAGAATTGCATGTAGGAAGAAAACAAATTTTCATATGGTTACCTCTTGTGAAAATGTTGAAATCAAGAATAACTTTTTCATCAATCATATAAACATTTGTAAGGATACCTTGATGTGGTGTAATGGTTAGCAAGCTTGCCTCACATGATTAATTATGACTGAGTAGTAACTTCAATCCTCACTGGGTGCTCCACCCTTTCAGCCTTGTGCCACATCTAAGCTGTACTTAGAAAATCACCATATAAACATATGTAACAAAGTAATTTTAAGCAATTAATAAATTTTTTCTTTTGTCTGATATTGTTTCTTATTACACAAAATGCTATATTTAGTGGATGCACATGCTTGAGTAGTCATCTTTGTTTTTTGTTTTTTTAAACAGTGAAATTAATGTCTCCTGGCTTAGAGGCAAAAAGTCTTATTAACAAAAATGTACCTCTCAAGAGAAATTGAACCTGGATTCAATTTTTAATCTGAGAAACCACTTTCAACTCAAAAATCCATTAACTGTTTAAGAATTACATAATAAAACATTAGCAGCTATGGACTTTGAAAAGTCTCAATGCAATATGTATGTTTCTTAAGTAGGGTAATTGAACTTTGTTTTGCTGTGATGACTTCTTATGACTCCATTGTAAAGCACACTTGGCTTGAAAGTGGTTTCCCCAGATTAAAAAGGGAATACAGGTTTGATTTCTATCAGGAAGCACGTTTTAATAAGGTTTTCAAATTCTAGGCTAGTAAACATTAAAAAAACAAAAAGAGATGGGTACTGTCTCAAATGCATGTTGTGACACAATACTATCAGCCCAGGGTCAACTCCTAGTCATGGCGTGAAGCTGTGATACTTCTCCTACCAGCATTTTGGGGTTGACTCTTAGTTGCTGCCACTAATATGTGACCTGGTCGATTGGTGGTCGTTGTTACCCAGCAGGATCCTTTGGTCAGGGTACCAAATGGGATGGTCAGTTGATTCCAACGGCTTCACACCAGATACAACCGGTCCGACACCAACTCTGTCGTTCTCATCTCATTTCCAATGGCTGGTTACCGAAGTAACTACTTAGATCTCAAGTCTAACCTACCCATGTTGTGATTTGATCTTAGGTAGACAAGATCAATCAGGCATCGGGGCCATAGTGCAAGATGAGTCTAAACAGGAAGTGACATCACACAAGTGTAAAAAGAAAAAAAGAAATAATAAAAACCAAAAAGATTTGGTTATGTTGAAAGAAAGCAAATCAACTTTTATCAGTTTGTTCTCTACAGCAGTATTTGTTTTTCCCAATCTGTTTCTTGGAGAGTGACACTTTATACTTCTGGCAAGTTCTGGTTTTCTAAGTCAACTGGTTTAGTTTTTAGGTGCTGGCTTAGCTTTGTTTGTCAGTATAACTTGCTGTTTCGTAGGAAGGCAAAGTCAAAGATAGGAAATTATGGAATCTCTCAGTCAGCTTCTGCAAGGCAAGTCGAACTCACTGGAACTAAACTGGTGAACAGAGGGCACTTGTTTATATGGACATCAACCAAAATTTTGGGGGGGATCCCTTCGTCTGTGAGGAGAGGTTGCAGGATAGCTATCCTCCTAAACTCCCTCCTTCTCACATTGGTACCTCATGCCAAATCCTTTTGGTGGGCATTAGTAATTTCTCCATCTTTCTTACCAATTTACCTCTGCCTATTACCATTGCTACTACTTGACTAATGGCATCTCGGTTGTGCGGGTGTGGCTAAGCATGCCTCATTAATTAACCTTTTGACATCCCTGTTTATTTCAGAATTTCTGAATTCCAAAATTATCAACATTATGAAATTTTCTTTTTTGACTTATAAACAACATATGGCCCACATGGCTTGGCCAACTTCTAAAATCTGGTGATTTCGAATGATATCTTGTTCTTTCACTTTCTTTAACCAGTACTTTTACAAACACTATTAATCGATTGTCAAAAGCTTGCAAAATGGCCTTTTTGTGAGTCCACTGTTTACTCAAATTTGTGGGTTCTTGAGAAAAGTAACTTTTTTTTTTTTTAAAGTAAAAATAAAATCTCAGGGTATCTTCTTTTCCATTCTCAGTATTTTCTTGTTTAATTTTTATGGCTAATTAGTCAATCAATTACCATAGCTAAATAGTGTCACACTAAATATAATGTTTATATTAATAAGAAACATATTTCTGCAAGAAGCAACCAAATAAGATGATTATATGCAGATTACATATAAATTTATCTGGATAAAATTAATAAACGAAATGAATAAAATACAAGGAAAGAGAAAGAGATGAGCGAGATCTAAATGTAAGATCACTGAGACAATCTGCCTGTAGACACGTCTGTGGTGACAGTTGAGCCACAGTTATTGAGCCAGATCCTGTTTGCAAGGCATCATTGTCATACAGCCAAACAAGTAGACTAATAATTACTAGTAATATTTGTGAAAATTTCAGTTTTTCTATTTGAATTTACTGATGTATGATAATATTTAATAAATATCTAAGCAATACCTGTGGAAATTCCCCTATCACATTGTTAAATATTTGAGCTTAACAACTTTAAATATTGCAATAACAACACATAAGTATGAATGTAGGTCATTATTGAAAGAAGTAAGAGGGGACAAATAAAAAACAAGTTTTTCCATTTTACTAAAGCAGGTGTTAAAAACATGAGTGTTATCATTGCCTCTATCTTGTCTTTCTTTTTTTGTTTTTCTCCTTGAAACCAAACAGCATCTCTGATAAGCCTTTTCAATCTTTTACTTGCAATCAAAATGGAATAGTCCATTCATAATGAGGTATTGGCAGGGTGTCCATGTTAAGGAATGGACAGAATTATAATAGGATTTTCTTTTTGAACATTTTCATTATGCAGAAAACTTTCATAATTGTAATTTTGAAAGGAAGACAACATTAAATGTTGATGCTTACATGCACCAAAAGAGGTTGATGATCGTGCAGGAATTGCAGACTTGGGTCGACTTTGGCTGACCATGGGGGTTTCAAGTTCATCAACCTGAAAATAAGAATAAATCAAAATCAATTCCATTTTACATTGTTTTTATGCTTTAAGAAAATCCTGACATGGTGCTGTTAACTGGATGCACAACATAATTCTTTAAAAAAAAAAAAAAAGAAAAACAAAAGCTTAACTGATTAATTGAAAGGATGCATTATATTTGCATGACAAAACAGAGGAAAAGATTTTGGTTAGGAATATGGATGTTCTACCTGATCCGCCTTACTCTTTGAACCTTGCCTCCATCCAAATATCCCCTTTTCATGTCTTTACAGTATTTTGTGGATGGGAAATGTGAAGATAATTATGAAGAGTTTAACCAAAAAATTTAATGTCTAAGGCATTAACAACTTACTCAGTGGTATTGTATCATTGAAAATTTACCTTCATTGGATTTATAATTAGTCATTAAAGACAATTATGTCTTAACAAAAAGCAAGACTTTCTAACTTTTGTTACTTAGCATGATAATTTGTTGTATCTCTTGAAGATGGTGTACAGGCAAGGTGGCAAAATTAAAAATTAAAATCACACCCAAGACTCTTTAGGGTCACTTAACAAGAATACCCTGTAGAAAGGTTAGAATCTATTTCTCCCAACTGTTCTATCATCAGATACTTTGAAAAGATGTTTTGTCTGACATTCCATGACCACTGATGAAGGAGAGAGTGCTTGTGTAGTAGTAACTGCTTTAAAAAATTACAACATCCTTTGTCGACCTTAACAAGAAGCAGTATACATACATTTCCTGATAATAAGCTATTTTATTGTTTGTATAAACTTACCAAAGTTCGCAGACGGTCAACTTCTTGGAAAGCTTTCAGTTTCAGATTTCTTTCTTGTTCCAGAAACTTCTTGAGAGAACTGACGGCAACTCTGCTTTGATTTTCAGCAAGTGTCATTCTTCTCTGCGCTTGACTTTTGCAGAACATTTTCACTTTCATTTCTTTCTGGCTAAGTTCCTCCAACTTTCAAAACAAGATTTTGAAACTCATTTACAAAATGACCATTAAAAAAAAATACACCTTTGTTCCTTGTGACTAGGCTGCTTGTAATGACTAAGTGGTTTTCAAATACATTAATAACAATAAAATCTGTCATTGGGTTGATGACATAAAACTGAGAGAATAGTTTTATACTGGCAGGTAAATAAAATACAATATCTTGGAATCTATCAGTTTTGACATTGAAAAAAAATTTGGAAAATATGACAATGGCTGATATAGAACCAAATTATTTACATTCCTTAACTGAATATTTACAAAGAATTCCAACATTAATTGGGCATAATTATGCCAGATTTAATCTTCATGTCTGTCCAAGCAATAGAGTTTATTTCTTATCTAGTTTTTGAAAGTTTACTTTATGTCTTTCACTTTTAGAAAAGACCCACTTTATAGAAATTTTCTTACACTGTCTGGAATGGCAGTAAGTGAAGCAGCAATTACCATTAAGTAGATATTCTTTGATCATTCCAGAACTCCAAAATAATATTTTATCATTCCATAACCTAAAATATTTTTTAATCACTGCAAAACCCAAAATAACTTTCTCTTATGTTTGCTTGATTTGATGTTGATTGATGAGCTTTAAATATGACAGTAGGCTTCAGTATTTGCCTCCTGATCTGATGCATTTTTCTATTGTACAGTTGTCTAGAATCATTCATAACATTCTGAAAATCTGTCCTACACCTATGTGCCATTCCAAAATCAAAATCATACATTCCTGCAATTATTGAAATTCTATCCAAAAGTTCATATAAGGTTATTTTTGTGGTCTAGGAATGTTCAAAATTTTTGCCAATATAAATTCAAAGTGCCTACTTCTTTATGTCAGGCTTATGCGCACACATCATATTGAAACACTGGTTCCAGTATGATCATCAAAGTTAAGCAATGTTGAGCCTGGTTAGTAGCTAGATGCTTAAGAATACCAGGTGCTGTAAGCTTGGATGTGTAGGTGGTGTAATGGATGACAACGTGGAATTGGAAATTGGAGAGCCAAGTTCCAATTCCAGTTGGGTTTGTTATATTCATCTCTGCTCTACTCCAGCTATGAGTTAATTAGTAACACTTGTATCAGTAAATCATTATTATCTAAAAAAAATAAAAGGATTAAAATAAAATTCTTACAATTTAAAAATATTTTCTGGCTTTAAATAACTTGTAAAAGGTTGAGATGCCATTAAAAACAAATCAAACTTTTGTTTAACTGATTCCAGTTTCTTTCCGCCACTGTTCAAAAGTAAAGAATGTTCCTATGAAATGACAAAGAATTGATTAACTTGTTTTTTATGACTTATCAACCTTTTGCAGGTGATATGGCTGTAAGCCTAAGCAAAAGAAACAGATGATCTTGAAATAAAATTGAGTAAGACAATTGTTAGTTGGCAAGAAGATCATTAATAATTAAATATACAATGCAGGTATACCTTACTCTATGTTGTTAACTGGTTCCAGAGGTCACGACTTAGGTTGAAAAACAACTTAAATTGAAATGACCACACTAAATAAGTACTCCCCATTGTTTCTTACAGTATTTATGATATGTATGTACAGTATTCTGGATAAAATAATTAAAAATAATTAAGACCAATTTTAAATTTATGTAAACTCAAGTAAAACGACCTAAGGCAAGTTTTATTTTTCCATATAATATTTAAGAAAAACTGATGTATCTTTGAAAATGACTTAGTTCAAAATGATTTAAGCCAAGGTATCACTGCATAATCATATGAGTAAATGTTTCTTATGAAAACTATAAAAACAAGGTATTAATTTAGAATATTTTAATACAAGTAAATAAATATCTACCAACCATAAAAGCATGTAAATAGTTATGAAAAACATTGCTTTGCCAGACAAAGTCTGAGCTGTCACAACACTGAGCAAAGAGTGGATAATGTGTTAGGCTTCAATAAATAGAACATGATATACTATCATGTAAAAAGATTTTTTTCTAATAATATTCTCCACATATTTAAAAAAATATTCCAACACAATTTTTAATATTCTTCACAGTCATTAAATTTCATTTTTTTTTTTTCTGTGAACGTCCTGCAGCTATCATTTAAAGAAAATATGAAACTAACAGCAAAAATGGCTCTGGGGAAATTTTAGTTCATAATGAACCTAAAGATATTGAAATGAAATAATATTCACAGCATGAATTCAAAGTTTTCATTAGTTTCATTTTCTGACATCCATTTGCCAAAGGAAATTTTAGCAGCAAACAGTAAAGACAATGCACTCATATGCAAATGTTCTCAGTATCATCTTTTATAATAGATTAAAGAAATCTTAGAAGTGTTAGAATTTTGCCAATTTCTTTATTGCTTGTGCAAAATTCAACTGTAATAAGTTATTTACAAGCCATAGGAAAAATTCTGAAACTTGAAAATGTTTGCCACATGAATGAACTATAGAAGAGATTTCAGTTAGTAATTCATCATTTTCATTAAAATAGATCATTTTTTTATCATTTCACAGAAAAAAAAGTCATTTTGAGACAAGTCACTGTCAAAGAATGTATTTATTACATGAAACAAAAATGAAGAAAATCATGGTTAGAATTTGGACTGCATTCAGCATCTCAATTTAAACAAAATCAACTTGGGATTCAAATTCTGGATAAACTTATTGTGTAATGCTACATTGAGCAATTGGCTTATTTGAATAACATATGGAAAGGGAAAAATTCTTTCTTCTGGAAACAAACTGGTTAATTTTGCTACCTTATAACACCTTGTTCTCGTGTTGTAAATCTGATGAACTAAACAGTCATCATCAAAGTGTAATGGGAATTTCCTCTACAAATCTACATCTTCTTCAAATGTGTTAGCATCGTTTTTTGCTTCCTGTAACAATTCAATCTGCAGTTCTAACAATTTGAAGATCCCAAAACTTTCCTCTAAGAATTAGAACTGGAATCATGTTTTTATTATAAAAGACACAATTTAGGTGAAAAAGATGATGGAAGGTACTAGAATACTGGGAGAGTATTTTGCTAACTGAATAATGAAGCAATAGATTTATATGATTGGATGAGGTTTTCTTCACACTAATTGCTTTGGTTTTAGCTTATATAATTCCTTTCTGCTGGCTTTGAACCATTTGCTTTTAGAAATCAATGTTCTTAATTTATTTTATAAGTTATGGATTTGTTTATCGTTGTTGTGAGTAATTGAATTTCTTATTTCATTCTGTTTGTGTTTATGACAGTCATGTCCTATTTTTTGTGCTTTATCAAAAAGTGTATATATATATATATATATATTTTGACTATGTACTCTCTTTTTTTTCTTAGGTGTCTGTTATGTTTGGGAATATACAAACCAGAGATGCAAAAATCAGATGCACAAGTGGGGATACTATGTTTACTTCTTCAGTATAAGATTCAACTGAAGAAGGCTGGATAGTACATGGTTGAAACATAAAACCAAAAACAATGAAAATTAGTCCAAACAAAGCCACATACAATAAATATAAGAAAAAAAGATTTTGTTGAAAAAATTCTGGATACTTTTTAAAACATCCAATCGCTATAGCATTTGATATCTCAGAGTCATTTGTTTTACCAATGATTAATTCAAAATCAGTTTGCCTTTAATTTGAAGAGATCTTATTTATGCATTCAATACTCACCAATCTGTCCATGTGTTCCTGTTTGATTTGATCTTTTTGCAGTTCGTATTCCAAATCCTGTTTATTTCTATGCAGTTTTTCTTCTTTCAGTCTCAACTAAAAAAAAACAAACAAAATTTAATGTTTTTTTTCATTCTTGCATTTATTTTTTTTTTGAAACTCATTTTCCATAAGTTTTAATTTTCTTTCCGATTCTTTGTCAATCTTCACATCTGTGTCCACTTACCCCCCCCCATTCGAATGGATGCTGAAAAAGACCTTTCACTTAGCACCTTCTTTTGTCATTAGAAAGAATTCCCAGACATTTACTTCAAGGCAAACACATGCTGCTGCTTTATGGAACTGACTCCCAGCACAATGCTTCCCCAATCACTACAATCTTAACCTGCTCAAGTCTAAGGTTAAACATTATCTTCCTTACATATAAATTGTTCCTCTTACTCTTAGATATGCTAAATATCTAAAAATTATATTGACATCCAACCAATTAAAATGGACTTCTGTCCAGTATTATTAGTGTGAGGAAAAAGTTATTAAATAAAAAAAATATCTGTCAAAAATCAGTCAATCATTTCTTGAAAGGTTCAACGAGAAATGTGTTTAGAATGCTTTGCCGATATTTGTGGCTGACTTCGGTCAGGTGATACAGTTTTGGAAAGTTAGAAATTCTAGCTTCTTTCTAACTTCTTCCGTGATTCTTTGGTTATATTTCATGCCTGTTGGCCATTTTTTTTTTATTAAATATATTCCAAACTACAAGCTTCTGGCTGAATTCACCAGCCAAATCGATCAGATTAGTGATATTCAGTTCATGAAATCAGTCGTAATCGGATAAAAACATCAAATTTATGATTAATTACCAAGTCTTAGTCTGTTTGAGGCCAAGTGGGGGTGGGGGCGAATAGAGGGATGAGTAGATTGTGTTTCATCAATCTTCAAGCGGAGATGGTCTGCTTTGAACATTAGCATTTGAAATCAAGGCTTGAACACTGGTCAAAATACAGGCAACTACAAAACATGTCAAATAGTTGGTCGATTCCTGGATACAACAAAATCTTTTTGTTTAGAAGTACATTTAAACTGTTTCACAAATAGAAGAATTTAACAAACTGCAAATTATTATGATAAAAAAAGGAAAAATCATAATTTTGGACTTAAAGAATAAAATAAATAAATTACCCAATGTGATTTTATCCATTTTATTGAGTTTGTCACCTGAATGTTTTAAGATCAATTCAGACTTCAGTTCAAACACACAAGACAGGAGTTTCAATTTGTTTGGAACATTTTTTTATGCATTTTTTCAAGCACTATCAAAGATTTAACATCAGAATCTCATCAGCTTGAATAATTTTCAAATTTCTCAAGTAATAAACTTGTTTGAAAAATAAAAGTAATAAATCATTTCAAATGTGAGTGAATCACACACAAAATATTTTATATTTTCTTAAAACATTCCCCTGGATAAAATTATGCCAAGGAAATTATCAGATTATATTCATTATCAGGTAGTTATCAGGAAAAAGATCCTAGATTTTAAGAAGAGTGGGTTTCAAAAGAAAGGTACAGCTGGTTATTGATGCTTTAGCAGGGAGTTTGGGAGGTTTTCTATAAATGCAGGCATTTTTCACTTAAATTTAAGTCATAGTTTTTTAGAACTAGAACTGAGTAAATTTTATAAAAATTAAAGAGATTTAACAGACTAAAACAGAAGACATTATACTTAAATTAGATGAAAAACAAACTTTTAAGATTAGTTTACGATTAGGTGAAATTATTTGTTTTTATTTATCACATTTCTTGTTCTAGATATTAGAAACACAATTGTGCTTTGCCTAGACATGTGGCTGGTCATCCAGCCCTGTTTGATTCTTCTCGTGATCCATGTCTTCATATAAGTGACCATTTCATAATATTTCTTCACATATCACAAAAATTTTCTTTAAGGATTCAATTTCCTATTTTGCATGTTCTTCCTTTTTGGTATCTCTGTTGATTTCTTACATATTTTCAGCAATAATTTCTTTGATTTTTTTTTTTTAGCAATAATGTTCAAGGCTCAAGAGCCACTGTAGGTAGAGGGTTATGGAGTAAGAGGCACATTTTATAGGGATATGTAGGGAAGATAACAGTTAACCTCAAACTTGAACAGGTTAAGATTTTAGTGAGCCGAAACACACCCTCTTGGTCATCAATTCTACAAAGCACCATTTTGTGGGAAGAAGCTACTTGAGTGAAATGGAATATGAAGGGAATGAGGGTTGATCCACTACAATGTGCATGGCATGGCAAATCTTAGTCATGAAAAGTAGAACTGGTGAAACTAAGGAATGTAGTTCATCTGAACACTTTGCATGGAAATAGCAATAGAGCAGTGAGAGGCTTGTGATGTTTCATCTGCGGAAAAGGGGTTGTAGAGGGTGGGGGAATAATTCATCACTCACAAGGATATGGAGATGCTTTTGGATTCTATCAAAACTGGAAAGTGAAGACTGGGCAGTTCCTGGCCATATATGGCAACAGTACTCCACTTTCGGCCTGATCTGGGTCTTGTGAAAGTAGAGGATAGAAGGAGGAGTCAGGTACAGGGAACCAACCCTTTTTCCAGCATCTTTAGCAATGGATTGTACTGTCGGGAAGTGTGAGAGAAGAAGCTGTTGGAGTACAAGAGGTGGTAACATTTGTTTCAAAGGGTGTGACTGACATGCCAACCTTAGTAGCATGAAGTCGAGGCACCAGTGAAAATAGCTCATCAGAGCAGATGCCATGGAAATATTTGTAGAAAAAACAGAGGGAAGCCATATTACATCTGTGAGAAAGTGACTGGACTGATCACATTGCATATCCATCTTTGGATTTTGTTGAGAACCTAAATATGAACAGCTGGGGCACCAGACCATATATAGCAAGAGTATTCCATACATGGACGAATGGTAGATTTGTAAATGTGAAGGATAAACTTAAATGAGAAAAAAAATTCTAGTGCAACACAAGAGAATCAATTTTCTTTGCAGTAGATGCAGCCATTGATTCAATGTAGTTGTTCTACATCAGGTCAGTGGAAAACTTGAGACCTAGAAGGTGCAGTGGAGCATCAATCATGTTGATAGGAGGCAGGAAAGTTTCTCTATGGTGAATAAATGACAACAATTTCTTTTTTTTAAGGAAAGCAGTGTTAAGCTGCTGACATTTGCAGCAAATAGTTTAGGATAACAAAGAAATGATCTTTCAGATGGATTCCTCACTTACAAAACCCAAACTAGCTTGGGGGTTAGCAAATGTTTTTCTTTAACAAAAAAATGAATAAATACACCAATAATGCTGCCATCTTTGCATATAATGCTTAGCTTAATTCTCTTAACTCAATGGAGTCTCAGCAGATAATCAACATTTTATATGTAACTGTTCTATTCTGATAGGAATTCTTGACCCCAGACAATCCCTATCTTCTTGATTGTTCAAATAGAAAACAGCTTGAATGCTGAAATTTCCTTAAAGTTCTACAGTCCAAATTTGTAATCTGGACTCTTTAATTATGAAATTTCTTTTCTCCTTTATTTCCAGAAATATCTGATAGAGTAGAAAATGACTCAAGCTAAACAGAAAAATGGTGGAGTAGAAGTAAAGGCAGTGGGCAGTAATAAAACCCAAAATCTTGTCCATTCAAAGAAGGGGACATGAAAATACATCTATGATCGTTGTTCATATTCCTCCTACTAATATTTGTCATGTCATATAGTGATTTATTAAGTGTAGCTTAGATATGGTACAAGGCAAAAAGTATGGAGCACCTAATAAGGATAAAATTCACTACTCAGTCATAATTGATCATGCAAGACAAGCTTCTTAACTATTGCACCATATCAAAGAACCCAAATAGTGATTTACTAAGTGTAACTTAGATGTGGTACAAGGCCAAAAGTATGGAGCACCAAGTGAAATTCAAAATCACTACTCAGTTATAATGGATTTGTCATGTCATATATGTAATCATTAGAATGATTGCATATATGACATATGATATAAACAGCAAATTGATAAATAGAGAACAAAACTGTCCTTTTGTTACATTTTAGAAATCCTTAAAAAATGAAAAAAAAGACGTAATCATTGTGAAATAAAGTAGAAAATAAATTTTAAAGTACTCAAGGTCTCAATGCTAATATTCTAACCACTTCACATGGCAGTAGTATGCCATTTTATTTGCTGATAGTTTTTCCTTTTGACAAAACATTAAACTCAAAAGCTAACAAGTCACATTTCATGAAATTTTACTTTTAGTTATTCTGGCGTATTTTGAAATTATTTCTCTTTAATATTTTGCAGGTTTTCAAAATTAGGGATGGACATTATCTTATATATGCTTCAGTGAAATTAAAAAAAGATGAAAGAAAAATTTATTTTTCTTTGTCTAAGGGAATAATATTTTTACTATTTCTCAATTTAAGTTTTTTTACATGTTACAATCAAATCAAATTACGCAATGAGAAATAACCTTGTACATGTATTTTTATTCCTTTGATATTCAAGTTAGAACACAAAAGTATTCAATTCTTGGTTGCTTGACATCATCAGATCTGAATAAAAATAGCATCATGACATGAAAATGACATGCAACTACAATTATTGAAAGAAAAAAATGCAAATTTGAATCCTTTACCAGCAATGTGATGCACGTGATACGCAGCGTGTTGGTTGTCATGGGTTTTCCACCAGGATAGCTGCATATTATGATCAAAATCTTTACAGGTGCAGCCACCTTTGCAAAATCTCAAATCAACAGAGATAAAAAAAAAAAAAAAAAAAAAAAGAAGGGAGAAAAAGCAAAAATTCAACTGCATTAGGCCAATCCTTTGCATGCAAGCGTTAGGGTTCAGGTCATTTTCAGATTTCAGAGTGTAACTTTCATTCGCTTCAAACTTGAAAGCTGAACAATATTAAATATTGTCTTATTAGTAGACAGGCTGATATAGAATGGTTATAATGGCAGTAAAGTGATTTATTAGCATTGGTTGTGAGGTTGCCAACTTCTGCAAAACTGATGAATAGATATAATCCAGAAAAATCTGAGAATTTTTGTAAAAAAATCATGTTGATAGATAAACAACTAGTTTCACTGCACTTTATTGCTTAAGTTTCCCTTGTTGCAGTTTGGTGTATTTGAAATCATAACCTGGTCACCAAACTGTTAGACTAGTTTGAAGACTAGACCAGTTAAACTAAAAGCAGTGGCAAGCGTTATTTTTTGCACATGTAAAAGATGAATGTAAGGAAATGGAAGACAATTTCAACAAGGCGATATTTTATATTTTTGTTTTTATATAACCGAGTAAAAAGCAAGAAAAAATACATGAGTATAAATGTAAAAGAAAGGAGACATTGAAAGTTGAGAATTGTGTGTGTGATACAGGTGTGTGTGTGTGTGTAAGTTCAGTCACTAAGGAGAAAGATGTCCCCATGCCTAAGAAGAAGCTCCCACCATGCTGGGAGGAAAAGAGAGATAAGGGAAATGACAGGAAGTATCCAGTTTTTTTATAGCTCCTTCACAGCGCCCTCTAACAACTTCTTGACAAAACTGGAGATACTAAGTGGAGGTAACCCACACCCAACTGCTGATTGGAAGAGAAGGCCAAGGAAACTGACTGCTTCTTGTTCCTGTACGTGTTATTAGGCAACTAAGGGACACCTGCTGTTTTAAATGATAGTATAAGTAAAGCATAACTGTATGTTGTTTATTGTAGATGGAATTTCTATTTAATGAAACAAAAGCAGATTAAATTCACTCTACATGACTTTCTATACTGAGGGAAAAGAAATAAAATGGGTCACTAAGAAATTTCCATTTTACAATCTTTGTTGTCATTATTCACATGAATCAAGTTTCATTGCTTGCAACACTAATTAAAAGCAATTAGTAGCATAAGTTACTAAGGAAGAAATACTATGAAAATTTAAAAAAATATATTTTGGGAGAAAATTTATCTGTAAAATTGATTTCTTTGGTGCATAAAAATCTATTTTTCTTGTCTGGATATAAATAATAAAAAATAAATTATAGTCTAACATGGCACAGTTGCAAACAGTAATTGTTATCATTAAATATAGATCCATATAACAAAAATAGTAGAGCTTCCCTTTGCCTATGAGGAACAAAAAACATTTCATTAAAGGCTTCCCATGGTTCAAAAAGTATGTATAGTAAATCTGAGGATTCTACATGAAACGGTTTGGCAGTGTACAGCAAATAAACAGACTCTTTCCAATCACAAACACTTATATATATGTGTGTGTGTGTGTGAGAAAGAGAGAGAGAGAGAGAAAGAGAGAGAGAAATGAAAAGGAAAATCAAGAAAATTTTTTGCAGCTAGGTTATTTGGTACAACAATCAGTATAGAATAATCCATAATACAATTCAGTTGTATTATGGATTATGTCGATTATAAAAGGGTACAAGTCTTATTCATTAGAATGTGTTATTTCACTATTTAACCCTACAGTATTTAACTGTTTTATATTAACACTATTTTACACATGCAGCCAAAAATAATGGCTTATTCTGCTAAGTTGTTACTATTTTTAGATTTTCAGTCTTTTCATTAATTATTGTTGTCTTATGCTCTTTCATGGAATTGGTCTTTTCACTTTCTGAACATCTTTGAACAATTCTCTGTTCTCACAAAGGCACTGACACTTAGTGTTGTCAGTGAAAGGGAGATAACCAATTATTTCCTTGCAGTGGCAATATTAAAAGTTACAGAAATTATAGACAGATAAAAAAACATGACAATTAACAGTGGCTGTCAATCTTTAAACTAAATTTTCTCATTCCCTCACCACCAATGATTTTTAAATCCTTTTTGATTTCCTTAAAGAAGAAATGATTCAATAAAGAAATAAATGCTCGTCTATTGATGCGGACTAGAAAATTTGAGTTTGAAAATAATGCTTCCTATTTTAATTTAAGAAACACTTCAAATTGTTTTGACACTGAGGTGAGATCTAAAAATATAATAATTATTGGAATGAAATATTTTAACTTTTTGCTGTGTATAATTCAAAAGCCAATTGAATCTCAGTGCATAGTTTATTTCCAAGACTTCACCCAGTTTCTCATTCATCTGCTATAACATTGAGCTATAACTCACTTCTATGTTTAGATGACTTGTTGCTGAACTTTGAACATTGTTGCTGAACTTTGAACCTTTCTCTATACAAGTTGAATTGAGTGTCAACCATTGCAGTTTACATTTGGATTAAAGAGAACCTTAAAAATAAACTTCAGCCATCTCTGCTCTTTTCTAAGCTAATTCTTAAACATTTTATTTTCTTACCTCTGCATCAAGTTGAGTTCTGAGTGATGAAAACTCTTTCACGGTGTTGGCCAGTTCATGGCGCAATGCTGTAACTTGTTGTTTAAGCAACTGGTTCTCTTTGTTTGACAACAAATTTAGTTTAATGTTTTCTCTTTTCAGCTTGTTCACATCCTTCATTAATTTGTTGATCTGTACACAAGATAAAACAATGCACACAAAACAGAACATACAACATTTAGTGTTCAATGTTCAATATACAATGCAGAACAAAGCACAATATATAGAAACTCACAATATACAAGGCAGATACAATATAATAATATAACATTTGAATAATCTAGGAATAGGTAGACTTGCAAGAAGATTAAAAGAACAGATACAAAAATAATTTTCAAATTCTTTAAAATTACCCTGTTGAAAACATCTTAAATTTTAAAAGCTTGATTTTCATTTTCTAGATGTTGTAACTTCTAAATAGTTTCATAAACTGAAACAATATCAGTATGACAAACTCATATTTATTTTAATTTTTCTTTTTACTATGGTTGTGTTGAAATACAAGCTAATTTAATTTGTAATAAATAGTAAAATACTGATATTTCTTAAAGGCTATTTTTATTGACAAACAAAGGATAGCTATTTTAGTTTATTTAAAGAATTTGCAATAAATTTACTTCAAGCTATGTAAATGTCACTAATATATCAGGAGTAAAAAATATTCAAAACAGATGTGTGTGAGTTAGAGGGTGGCTCTGTCTGAGTGAGGTGTCCACAATTTCATTAGCCTAGAGGCCCCAAATATCTGACCTTGGATAGCAAACACATTTGGAAAAGACTGCATATGAAATAGGAAGAGGAGATAGAGGAGTTTTCTGGTAATATATGGCAGTCACCATGGAAGGAATTGGGTAAAGTCTTTGTTCAGCGGTGAATTTGTGACAGCCGATGATTATATAACAAACAGTATGTATTTTTCCTAATGAAATAAAGTTGTCATTGTTGTATAAAGAGGCTCCAGAGACACAGAAACTTGAACTGTCACATATCTATTTTTGACAAATGAGAGCCCTTGGAAAAAGACACTATATTTTATGTCACTTGCAGACAATCTTCAGAAAAATTAAAGGATGAAAGCACTGAAAATCTTAATAGCTTTGGCTTTTTAAATTAGTAAATAAAAAATTAACAAAATATTTTTTTAGCTAATGGTAACTTAAAAAAGTAATTCTAAATTTTTAGACCCCATTTTCAGCATATTATTTTCTATAAATTTCAATGTCTTTGTTATATCCCAGGCTGTTGGGATAAATAAAAACAAATGAAAATAAAATACAAGTGTATTTTAGCACATAAATAAACAATCTTTATTCGTTCATTGTCTGAAAACAAGGATTCTATCGATTAAAACAATGAATTTCATTTACATATAAGCTTGTCACTAGGTTCAATTTAGAAGTCTCATGCTCATCTTCACCGACAAGGGAAATAACTCACTTGTATTTTGAGTTATTGTCATTTATAGGAGAAGGAAATTAGCTTCCCCTAACAGTTTTGCAACTTACCAATTACTCACTTTCGACATTGTTCAACTCTGAGTGGTATCTATACAATTCCTACTAATATTCTATGTCTTTTCTTTTTTATTATCAACATTATTTAAAATAACTACAGAACTTGTACTATCGCCAGCCAAATTTTAACTTTTGCTGTATTATGGCTGTTACTACTACTACTACTGATACACTTTCAATGTAAACAAAATCTTGCATACACAAAAGGAAAACACATTCAACAAATACAGATGCAAATAGAAAGTATTTGATATTTGGATTGTCAAAAGACTGACAATATTTGATGTCTTATTTGGATGTTTTCCAATTATGCCACTTTTTTTATAATTTACTCTAGGAGAAAAGGAAATTGCATATAGAATAGATTGTACTATATCAATACTGGAAAGAACGATAACAGTTACTGGACTTGAGAAATCTATTTGTCTGAAAAATTGTTTTCAGAGAAAGATTTTATAAATTTTAACTGGCAAGAGTACTGGCTGCTCACTCAATAAATGCTGAATGTTTCCTTATAAGGAAAAAGATAATATTACCATTACAAATATTTTAAAATATAAATAAATTTGTTAAATTTGTAGAAGTGTTATATTTTTGTTTTTTTTCACAGTTCAATCTTCTACAAAATTGGTAACCCTGATGTGATTCTTTTGAATGAGCCTTTTACTCATTTCTTTTCTACATGAGTAATCTAGGATTTTTATGTATACATTAACTTTGTTGTCACATATAAGGACACATTTTGGATTTTGAAATAATTAAAAGTAGAAATATCCAAAGAGAGCTAACATGAAACAAAAGAAATAAAAAGCAATGTCTTAACAACCTGATCTCTCTTAGTTACTAGCGAGATATCCTGCTGTGATATTGTCAACACAGTCCTGTTTGGCATTGAGTTATGCCCCTTGTTAATACAAAAATTGAATAACTCATCTAATACAGGAGAGATAAGCATACATCACTAATGAATATATTAGGTGTGACTATAATTCTATATTATAGGTTATTGCGTTAGTTTCCTTATAAATATTCATTTCTTATGGCATTTGGTTAAATATTAGCTTACCAGATATCTCAAATTTCTATTTATGACCTTGAAGATATTTTTTGCATCATTTTCTGAGGGTGGGTGAAAAAGAGGTGCTTTAAATATCATTAAATACAGTTCGTTTAAAGAATTCTATTTTCAATAGAGGAAACTAAACAAAATTCATTCAAATAAAATTCAATAAGAATGGAAAACAGTTGTGAAAATTATATGTTTTTTTGATATATTTAATAAAAAGTTTCATTTTCATACAATTTATAAGAAAATTTTCAGTGGCTCAATAATTTACTGTTACAAAGAGTTAACAAGTTCTTAAAATTTAAATTTTTTAAACAGAAATCTATTAATGTTGCTAAAACTAATATAATATGACCGTATGAAAAGAGGTTAGAAGTCTGCAGTTTTTGATATTAAGAATATTTCTAACAGTCCCTTCTCTTGAAGTAAATGTTTGTAATGAAGAAGTTTTTTTACTCACGGCTTTCAGGTAATTGGCCTGGCTGAAATTTTGTCGCCAGGTATTGATGGTTCTAAGTTTGAGCAAAAGTATATTGAGTTGATTGTTATCAGCCTGAAGTTGTCGCACTTCCTCGGCTCTTGAAAGGTTTACTTGTAAACAGTTCTCACCTGCAACATCAGATCCACAACTTTTAGCAAAATGACAGTAATACAACATGGATATATTAAGTTGACAATAATATTTTTTTTGAGTAGAAAGAGATTCATTCTGGTTTGATTGAAAGTGGTTGAACTTCTGAAGTGTCACCATTCTGGCACTAACAGTAAAACCTCTGAACTGGTAACCTTTAGAAACATGCATTAATCTTTGAGCTAACATTATTAATATTATTTTATTACTAGTTTTACTTCATCTTATTGTTACTTTTCATCACAACACCATGAGTTGGTACACTCTTCATTGTCACCATTATTTTATTACTGGTTTAATTCCTACATATTTTTCATGCTTTTTTTTTTATCACAACACCCTGGATCAATAGTTTTCAATTATTAAAGTAAACTTGCAAATAGAGAAATCAATTCCAGTAAGAACTGAATTCACATTTCAGGATCCTATCTTACAAGGATGTCAATCTATATGAATAACTTTTCTATATATTTTTTAGCCAATAAAATTCCATCAGAAGGTTTGTTTGATAGAAAATCATTACAAGGGCAAATACCACTAAAATACTTGGGGGACGTAGTTGTAAACTTACCACATTTTATTTTTGAATCATTTAGAAAATAACTATAATAACTCCCTTTACCACTCCTGCAAATCTGAGAAAAAGATTTTCACGAGCCAGTGTGAAATTATTTTCTAACCAATGAAAATCTTTTATTCAGAAAGATTCACCTCTATATGAAATCAGATTTTAAATCCCCTTACAGATATAAAAATAGAAGCATACTTCTTCCCGAGGGCTCACAACAATTTCACAGACCAGTTTGATCTAAACACAAATACACACTCACACAATGGAAGAGAGACAGCCAACAACCACTGATTAAGGACTTGGTTAACCATCAACTGCCAACTAAGCCTTTGTCTATGAACTCATAAACACATTAGGCTGACCACATAAAGTAAGTCTGTTCACACATTGTGCACCAAACTATGAACAATTAATTACTTTATAAAACAAACTTCACTGCAAGGAAAATTGAACATTTTATGGCTATTGTATTTTCCTGAAAAGAATTTGTGTTATTTCTACTGACATTCTACTTCTATTTTTCCTTCAGAAAATAATCTTTTATATGTTTTCATCCTGATTTATAAGTTCAGTAATGAATATCCTGTATCCTTAAATATATACAGTTGTCTTCTTTGTTTCATAGTTACATTCCATCATTGCTGATTGGACCCTAAACTACCACCAGTCACAATAAATGGATGTCCCCTTAGGGATGCCCTGTACTTTGAGTGACTATTAAGCCTTAAACTCATCCTAGATATCAAGTGGAATATGATCCATCACTAGAGAGGCAGGAAAAATGTTCGGTTCCATGTACCGCTGCTCCAGAAAGTTCTTGACTCTTCTTGCTAGCTAGATCAGGTTGAAAATGGAGTACTGCTGCCATATTTTGGCAGGAGCTGCCCAGTCCTCACTTTCCAGTCTCAATAGACTTCAAAAGCATCTCTGTCGTCTTTGGGAGTGACAAATTATTTTCCAGCCTGTAACCCCCTTTCTAACAGAAGAGATGTAGTAAGCCTCTCACTGCTCTTTTGCTATTTCCATGGAAACTGCTCTGATAAACTACATTCCCCTAGTTTCACCAATTCTAACCTTCACAGTTGGGACCTGCCATGCTACACACATTGTAGCGAATCACCCTTATTCCTTCTGTATTCCATTGGTGAGATGTTCCATTCAAGCAGCTTCTTCCTGCGGACAACTGCTCTGTGGAACTGACTCCGAAGAGGATGTTTTCTCTGATCACTACAATCTTAACCTATTTAAGTATAGGGTTAACTGTTATTTTAACCACGTATCTACATAAACTGTGCCTTTTACTCTGTAACTTTCTACCTTAAGTAGCCCCTGGGCTTTGTACAGGGTGAAGCTCACTGTAAAAAAAAAAGTCACCTCTATTCAGATAGGTAACAATGAAACCCATCATATAACATTCTAAATTTTTCTTTCTCTTAAATTCATTGTTTAATAAAAACATGTTTATTATAAACATGGATTTATTAAACAGTGAATGGAGTAGTGCTTTTATCTGCCTATTACAGATTATGCTAGTGCAAGACTGACTGCTGAAGAGAAGGGGGTCCTTAACACCAGTTTCAAGAGGAAAAAAAAAACCCCAAAAGAACTTACCATCAGGAAGATTATACTTCATTCTCACTTTATCCATTTCTTCAATTGCTTCTCTTCTAATTATTGTAATCTTGTCCATTACATCATCTTTTAGTTCATGTCTAGAAAAGAAAGATAATTGTTTTCTTTCATGCAAGGGCAGAGTTAAAAACTCAAGATCTTTTTAATAGAGACAAACTTAAGAAATTAAATATTACACATTATCGTTTGGATCAGACATTTTATTTGTGTATCTTATATCAAAGTTATATTGTCGTAAGTGCAAATGCAGCAAAAAAAAAAATCAACTCAAATCAAAATCAAAGACTTTTTTTTAATCAATTCACCCCAAGCAAGGAAATAAAGCCACTAAAATGCAAGGAGTTACTGAATGTTAGAGAATATGAGGAAAAAAAAAACACTATTAAGGAGAGAGAACAATGACAGAACAGGGGTTATAAAGACAGAAGATAATAATTGACATTGCATTTAAATTTTTTGAAGTTCAAAGTTGACTGGGAAGCAAGAAACTGGAAAAGAGTTCCAAAAGCCTCCCGTGTGCTCAGCTTCCTATGCTGTGAACAGGTTAATAAGAGTAGATAGGTTTGCCTATCACCCAGCCAGGACTCCTTCTGAACAGGTTTATTCCTTTTTCTCCTGTTTAGGATATGGTTTACTAGTTCTTTCTTCCATAGCTATAATTATTTAACTATCTTAACTTTTTGGTGATCTGACTGATCAGTGGCTGTTACTTTTCATTATAATGCTACTGGGTTGGTAGTTTTCTGGTTACTGCTTCTGACTGGTAGTAAGGAGTTCAAACTTTTTGGTAGCGCTTAAAGATACTGCTCTGATCAACAGTCGCATAATATCAGAGTATTTGTAGTGCCATGTTGTGATGACTCTGTATCTGTAGTGCCATGTTGTGATGACTCTGTATCTTTTTCTGGTGGCCAACCTGAGGCCACATTATGCTCTAGTCTTAGTCACCTTTAGGCCAGCTTGTATTGCCATAGATGATGGACAGTGATAAGTATTTTGACCTTTTTCATCTTAAAACAAAATCATCTTGTGACAGATACTTAATAAAATTCAAATTGTAGTTTTAAACTAGTACTGAGTGTTATTCATTTTTTATTAATATTTCTTTCATCTTAATTTCAACTTTTTTTATTTATATAACTAGTATTGGTAGTAGTAATATTGTAAGCCATTATTCATTTTGGGCAAGTATTTCTTTCATCATAATTTCACTTTCTTTGCATTAGTAGTAGTAGTAATGATATTCTCTTGAATTTTGGTTTTATGAACCAGAGTCATCCATTATTAATTTCAGTCAAGTATTTCTGCCATCATAATTACTCAGACTGTCAGTTTAGAGTAGTAAATAGTGTAGTTTGGAAATAAAGCCCAAGATACAAACTTGAATGCCTTTTACCTTGGAAAGCCAACACATAACAATTGCTCTATCATTTTAACAACAAAATTCAATTGGGCAGAAGATCACATCTAGATTCTTTATTTTCCTTAATTCCTTATTTCTGATCATCATTGTTTATTAATAGCTGTAGAAGGAATGTCTCAGTTATTGCAAGGAAAAGTCACTGAAATTAAGAAGAAAGAAATACTATTCAAAACATATAATGGCTGATAAATTGAATAATACTAAAAATTCATGATAATGGTATTAATGTCTGGTATCTGTTAATGTCTATACAAAAAAGTATGACCCCAAGGTTGGAAGCTAAGAATTGCCCAAGGCCTTGTAACTGAGAACCCCTAACAGTCTCTCCCCATTATGTGACCGATGAATTTCTTCTTTTATGTGCCTTGTCCCTTCAGGACATAGGCGATCATGGCCCTCCACATCTTCCTGTCCCTTGTAACTTTTAATAGGTTTTGTCTTTTTGTTATTTCTTCCAAACCCTGTTCTACCATCCATTTATTCAAGCTCATCAAGTATGTTATGCACTGCTTTCCTCTGTCCTTCTTTTTCTCAATCTGTCTTGTGAGTATTAAATTTTCCAAGCCCTCTTTCCTAATTACATGCCCTAGAAATTTCAACTGCTTCTTCTTGATGTTAAGTATAAGTTTTTTTTTTATTTCCATTTTCTCCCAAACCTTGTCGTCGTTTGCATGATCGGTCCATGGTATCTTTAGCATCTTTCTGTAGAAGCACATTTCTGTTGCTTCACATCTGTTCTTCAGCTTTGGAGAGATTGTCCAACATTCACTGCTATATAGGAGGACAGATATCCCGTAACAGTTCAATTCACTTTTATTTAAGGGGAACAGGCAATTTCTGGGCAACCCACCATGCGACCTTGACTCAAGTGCTAAGTATCCCACACAGCAAATTTTGATGTCACATCTGATTTGACAGTGTTTAGCAAACTACCCTACCAGATCAGCTAATAAATAAATCTAACAAAACAAAAACAAAAACAAAAAAAAGAAAAACTGGAATTAAACCACAGGAATTAGACAAACAATTATTATTTATTTTTGACTTGTATTTCTTTAAACATTATTTTCAGCTGCTCCCAGATTGTCATTCCACAATTATTAGAAAGCAGCATGGGTTAGAAATAAAGTATATGTCTCTGTTGAGATTTGAACCTGCATCCCTTAACATGACAGCTGCCTTGCTAATTAGGCTAGGAAAACCCCTGGTTGTAGTTGTTCAAATATAACCACATAGTTTTATTTTCCACAAATACCTGATATAGCACCATCTTCATTTACATACAGTAGCAGTAATAATATTTTTAAATGAAGCATTGTCAAGTGAAATAAAATGAAAGAGAAACAAATAATTGACATTGCTTCATTTAAAAAATTAATATATAATAATATTCTGACAATTCTCTCTATAAGATTTTATCAAATTTCAGCTTGAATTTTGTATTGCAATATGATCAAAATTAAATGCATGACATTTTTAATTTGTTTAGCAGCAAATTAGTGACCCCAAAACAAAACAAAAATAGAAGCATTGATGATTCTGTTATTACTTGTGTTACAATCAATTAGATTCATAACAACATGATGAATTAAAAGTCAACAATGTTTCTAAGCTCTCGGAAGCACTTGACTTAAGGATTGTAATCATGTTATGGAAAATATAACAAATGAATTGTAACCTGAAGACATCAAATTTCTCCCTCAGCTCAGAAGAAGCAATGAAGAAATTTTCTATAAGTTTGCTATAGTCTTCTCGCACTTCATTATGAACTTCTGCATTTTTCTGCTTATTCTTCTCCTTCAGTTCTTCAACTTTGTGTCGAAGATATGTAATCTCTACAAAAAGATGAGAAAGAAAAATGACTCAGATATCATAAAGAACTTAGATCAGATTAAATAGTGTTACTTAACAAAAGTCGGATTAATTCTGTTTTATAAGTCTTTTATGATGGATTTAGGAGAATTTTGTGATTTTGCAAAAGTTGCTTTTATCTTAAAATTCTTAGCTTTCTCTCTCTTTCAATTCTTCCTATATTTTTGTATTTATTTCTTAATTTCTCTAATTCTGGTTTCACCATAACAATAACAACCTGAGATGCTTCAGGTATTAAGGATTAACCATGACCATCCTCACTTAATATGATGGGGAGGTGCTGGCTGGCTTAGGGAAGATGGATCTTGGGAATTGTACATTTAAGAAATATTTTTACCCCAATGACCAGTTTAATATTGTTATACAAATTTTTCTATCTTGGAGTATAACTGATTCCCACTGAAGAGCATAGGCTTGAACAGATACTACACTCTACTTCAATGTATAAAATAGTATAACAGTTGTATATACAAATAAGTAGAATAATAGTATAAATGTTAATGTATAATATTAATTAAAACTTAATACATGACACATGAAAAGCTGGTTTTATTGTGATAAACATCCAAGTTAGATTGAAGATTCCCTTTTCTGGTCTGATAGGTTTGATTTTGTTTCTGCTTAATGATCTTTCAACCACTACAGGGTTATTTAAGGCCCGATAAAGATTTTTGTTTTGGGTAGAGCTTGATGTTATATGTGGATAGGTGATAGGTTTGGGTACAATTTAATTAGTGCAAGTTATTAGAGATGTTGGCTCCTAATACAAGTTATTTTGTATTCAGTTTCTCACACAAGCCAGTTATGAAAGCTTGCATTGTTATTTTTAGTGGGGATTTTTATGAAATCTAAGGGTTCTTTTTGTTGCAGTTTTCAAAATCAAGGTTTTATGGAATTTTGTTAGGAATTTTTATAGTTTTATATTCTGGTAGAAAGTTTTAAGGATATTGTTTGGCTTAGCATTTTGAAAGTTCTTTTGTATTGTTTGTATGATAATATTTTGACTGAGATGATGGCAACTTATGAGTATACATTTGACTGAGAAGGATATTTGACATCTGTTGCATGATGCGGGGGGGGTAGTTTCATATTTTAGTAGATGTGTATCAATTGTGTTATATCCTATTTGGAGTCTTAATAAAACTATTTTCCTCCTGTCTTATTTTTCTGAAATCTGGGAGCCATTCTCCTATAATTGGTTGAATATTGTATAGTTTGTTACGTTCTGAGTCCTATATTGCCCGCCATTTTCTTTTGATATGCTCTTTTATTTTATTTCTGAAATCCAGATTCCATTGAAATCCTGTTTTGCATTGCTATTTTCTGCTTCATGGAGCAGCACCTTTTTAAATTCTTCCTTTTTATTCTTTCATTTCATGCTTCTTTCTTTTCTATCTATATGTCTTGGCATTGCCTGATGTTGAAAGTAATCAGAGGATCAAGTTTTTGGCAAACTATTGAGATTTTTGCACAATCCCTTTCATCTAAAATTTGTTTATCTTCCATTGATTTTGAGGAGAATCTTGTAACAAAGATGGAAGATATTTTCTGAAAAATTCATACAATTTCATTAATAAAACTTCATGTTTTAAAAAACCAAAAACCATCTCATGTAGAGAGGACAAAATAATCTTAAGTCATAGAGGCAGAAATAATATTAAAATGAGTAAAATGTTTGTTTAGGTCATGTCAAGTGCAGAGACTAAAATGGATGATGTAGGTTATACACCCCCACAGAATACTCTTGAACAAGTTTTTTACCTTGACTATTGGCCAGTTGTCAAAATAAGTGGATTGTTAAGTGTATATACTTTTGATGGTATACTTGAAAAGTTCATTAAGAAATAAAGGAGAATTAAAATTTTTCAAATAAACTTTTTAAATAAAATGAGTTGCAGCTGAATATGAAATTTGTTTTTGTGTGTTGTGTATCTTTAGGACATGGGTGGTGATGGCTCTCCATAGCTTCCTATCCTTTGTAGTGCTAAGTAATGTTATTTTTTTAATATTCCTCCATCTCCCTGTTCTGTCATTCATTTACAAATGCTCATTAGGTTGGTTACTCAATGTTTCCCTTTGCCCTTCTTGCTTCTGATATGACATGTGAGTGTCAAATTCTCCAAGTCTTCTTTCCTTGTTATGTGTCCTTGTTGTTTTTTGATTCTAAGGACAAGTGTATTGTTTGTTTCCATTTTCCTTAAAACATCCTTGTAGCTCGCATCTTCCATTCATGGCATTCTTCTGTAGAACCACATGTCATCTGTTGCTTCAAGCCTGCTCTTCATCTGTGAGAAAATTGTCCAGCATTCACTACTATATAGGCAGACTGATATTACACAGCAGTTCATCACTCTTTCTTTGGTTTCTAACAAAAGTTTCAAAGTTAATTTAAATAATATTATACTGTTGTTCCTTTTACCAAGATGTAAAATCGAAATCAGCCAAGTTTCATCACTGACACATAATAATGGTTAACAGATAAAAAAGAGTGAATGAGTACTGAGGCAAGCTTTTTAAACACCAATAAGCACATTACCTGTCCAGGCAGTTAACAGCACAAAGCTGCTACTCCCATAGTTAACCTTGACAAGAGTCACTAAGATATTGGAGCTCTGAAGATAAAAAAATATGGTGTATTGCCAAAAGACAGTAATAATTTAACCTAATAGTGGAATCATTTTTTATTCTTTACAAGTTCCAGACCATTATCAAGAATTACCAGAAAACTGTTTATTTTTTTAAATTCTTAATTTTGAAATTCGTTGGCTGTTTTACAAGAATAATCATGGACGTATTGTAAAACTGGACCCTATTGATAAAAATGAGTTAATTACATGTGATAATTTAACCAATTGTCATAAAATTAAAATAAAAAAGGAATCAGAGAAATACAAACAATTTTCTTTCTTTAATTAGAAAAGAATTTAGATGTTTTTTGTTTTGTTTTAAATTTTTGCTTACATATATACAAAATGAAAATGAAAGCAAAAACATATAATGTAGATATATAAGATACAACCAGTTTTATTAACCCTTGAATGACAGGAAAACAATGCACAAATATACATGCCAAATGGATAAAAAAAAAACAAACCCAAAAACAAGAAAATTTATTTTCTTAAAAATTAGTTTTAATGATTATTTCTGCTTTAATTATATACAAAAAAATAAAAAAATATTTTTAATTCAGAGATTATAAAAATAAACAAAAATGGAAAATAAAACAAATGGAGTTATGCATTCTTTGCCCCAAGTTTTTCACATCTTTTCTCTTTGAGAAAGTTGCATGCAGGCATGATACTGACTTTGTTCTTCCAGTTTTATTTATAGGCAAATACTCCAGAAAATGAATCCCAGTAAATAGTAAGCTCATGGATCCTAGAATTGCCAATTAGTTATTTAGACTAAAATCATGATCAATTGATTAATTTTTTTTTTTTTTTATGACTTATCACCCGTTGTGGGTTATTTCAAGCTGGAGGTTGCTTGCAATACCTGGTGCTCAAATCATGAATAAATGATGCCTGTCTCATAGAGAAAGATTTAAATCATCAATTGGTAGTTTTTTTCTGATCTCCAATGAAACACTAATTGATGAGGCCTGCTATTTGAGGATTAAAGAACAATAGAAATATCTGAAACAACAGAATCTGCAGAACATATTTGGAAACATCAACAGGAAACTTTCAACCTTTAACTTCGAGTGCTAATGCTTCTTCTCACGTCAGATGTTGAATGGTCTTTAATTGAAGGATTAATATTAATTAAGCAGACCTTGATGAATTGAAATTTGTCTATGATAAAAACAGTTTTATGTTCTATATTTTAAGAATTTTAAGTGGATGAATAAACATCAAATAAAAACATGCTTTAGAAGTGTATCAATTTGCATCTATTAAGTAGAATTTCCTTCTGTACTTATCATTGTGCCGATAAATTAAGAAGAATCATTAAGATTAAAAGATATGTTTAAACAATCAACAACAAAATGATTTCAGTCTGAATTTCTAGGACAAGGATTTATCATTATTTACACTGTTTAAAAGCAGACTATTGTCTTCATCTTTGTTGTTGTTATCACAACATTTCAGATGTTGTGCCATCCTGCCTTCCTCAGGTGTATGTTGATCTGGGTAACCTACAGGGAACTCTGGACTGAACCCTTTATTTAATCTACAGGGGTAGATTGTTCTCATTCAACTACTCATGTCTAGGGATATTCTTATTTTTAGTACTGCTCAGTTATTGATTACCATGTTTTCATGAGTCCAAGTACATACTGCCCAGCCTAGAGAGTGAACTCACAATTACTATGTTACCAAATTCATGAACTAACGCTTTAATTCACTAGGAAAATTTTCTATGTAGAACGTGAAGCCTTAAACCTAACCTACCTGCTGATGAGTGCTTTTGGTGTTTGCCATGTTGGACTGCATTTACTGAAGCTTTCCTCTTTTGTTACAGCTGCTGCTGTTTAAGATTTGCTGTCATTTCTCTTCCTTTCTTTATTAGCAGCTCACATATCATATTTATTTCTATGCTAGGCCTACTAAGGAAGTCTTTATAGCTTAGCATATGCACTGTTTTTTCCAGATGTCTAACTAAAACATTGTAATAACAACAACAAAGATGAGGACAATATTCTGCTCATAAATTGTGTAAATAACAATGATTTCAATTGTTTTTTTTCTAATCATTTCACCCCAAGCTGCTAAAATGCAAATGGGGTTACAGAGTGTGAGAGAATATGAGAAAAAAATTATTAGGAGAGAAAACAGTAAAAGAATAGGAATTAAGAAAACAGAAGATAATGATTGACATTGCATTTAAATTTTTGTAGATCAAAGTTGGTTGGAAAGCAAGAAGCCAAAAAAGAGAAGTGTGAGAAAAGAAACTGTTAGCATAGACCTTATGGGTACATCTAGCCATTTCTCAAAATGATGAAACCTTGCTGCCAATCTAATAATGCACTTATATTCATAAAGTTTAGGTATCATAGAAGAAAGTTTATCAGAACAATTACCATAAAAGTATTTACAGAAAAGGCACAGGGAAGCTACATAACAGCAGAGGGAAAGTGACTGAAGCTGAGATGTCAGGTCAGGACCAATAACATTGCAGATTCTTCTTTGTATTTTATCAAGAATCCCCAAATACATAGCAAAAGCATCAGACCAGATGTGATAGCGATAATCAATGCATGGATGAATGGTAGACTTATAAATATCTGATAAGATTTGTCAAGAAAAATTGTCCAAACAAATTTTAAATCTGCAATAATTTTTCTAATAAAATCTTGAAGAGAAAAAGTATAAATGCTGCAAATTCTAAACTGAGTAAATGTCACACTTAATTTTTTTTTTCCTTTTCTTAAGACTAAGCTTAGACACTGATAAACAAAGACTAGTTTTTCTCTTTGTTTCATATTAGAATAACTGCGAACATGAAATAAAAATAAGCAAATTTTTACCTATAAGCAGGTGAAATGTTTTATCAGCCATTTGGCACTCAACTGCAGAGGCTATACTTTCCTGAACGACATGCTGTTCTTCCTGGAACTGTTTGATTTCCTACAAGAAAATACAAATTTTAAACAATTCAATCATATTCTGAAGGCAATAAAAATCAGAAACACATTTGGAAATTTCAGAAAGAAAAACAAACTGTGTTGGTAGAATTGTTTGGAAAGCCAACACTAACCTGTTCTTTGTGGTACAATTGGTCATGATAGGTTTTTATAAGCTTCTCAAAATAACTGATGTAGCTAAGAAAGAAAGAAAAAAAATCAACGTTTTTATTTTTCTAATGAATATAAACAAGAAAGATAAAGAAAAATAGGAAATTCTTTTTGTGCCTCAGTAAAATTAGATACTGCTATGGCAAACAGAACATGAAATTTGTCTGAGAGAGCATGTGTTCACAGCACTAACAGCCTTAGTAAAGAATTTATAAGACATTATAAAGAATGTCTTATTACTGGCATGTCACAATGATTAATGAAGAAGATTGTAATTGAAAGAGCACCTGGGTCAGCCACTACCTTACTGCCCAGAAAGTAATAATAAAATAACTTTTACAACCAATACCAACCTTGACAGAGGTGAAAAGAACAAGGATAAACCTTAAATCTACCAAGTTATTTTAGTGTTCAGCTGATGAGATATGGTGGAAATGGGTTTTAGGGATATATTAATCTCCGTGTGACTGAGGTTCGGATGGAAGGGTGTAGATACTATAATTCTATATGAAAATAGTTTTGTATTCTGATAAATTTTCACTTTCAGAGACATCTTGTACCTATATGCAGTGGATATGATGATTTACATATACAATTAATCAGTAATCCAGTCAAATGAAGGAAAGTATGACAAAATATATTTTAGTAAAATAATTCTTTTCTTCTGATATTGAGACTAATATTGTTGTATCATGTCAGAACTCCAATTCTTTAAGTTCTTTGACATCCACAGCTCAGATAACAAAAACAGACCTTTATTTTGTCTGGGTATGCAACCACTTCTGAAACACAGCCCCAAAATACTAGGGTAATGTAACATCTATTTTTTGTCCAATCAGAAAAGGCCCATGTGGTTTTCACAGAAGCTGTTTCTGAGTCACTGACTCACTATAAAGCTAATGCTGATTTCACTCATGAAGGTAGATCCAACTCAGCTGTATTAAGTTACAGTCAGCGCCGTCTGTCTAACTCTCTGCATTAGCAGAGAGAAACCCGGACGAAGCTTTGCCAAAGGGCAAGGTTTCGTTCGGGGAGGTTGACAGGCCTTGAACCCGCCTAGGCGGGTTTGATGGCTATATTTTTGGCCGAGTCTACGGGCTTGGGAAACCCACATTAAACTCGGCCTTGTGCCACATTCAATCCTCATGGGGGGATAGCTAAATATTGTAGATCCAACTCAGCTGGCATTAGTAATGGAACCCCACAGCACGCAAACTTAACCAGGCCATCAGCAGTGGCACCAAGTTACTTGCATCAATAGAGATGCCTTTGGCCAGTGACAAAACCAGCAGCATCATCATAGACTAACTCACTTGACTACATCAGTCAGTTATCATGTATTTTTCAATACATGACTGATGAGGCAGATTTTTTTCCACAGTAGGTTGTCATTTCTTTCTGTGGTAGACCAGTTGCCATCTAAGGCTATAGGACCCAGTCTGTCCTGCTATTTACCCATAGCTGGGGGAGAAGAGGATTCATACCTTTCCTAAGGGTATTAGCATGTAAGTTAATGTAATGGATTTGACTGGAATTTGAACTCAGCTCTCAAATTCCTCAAACCAAAATGCTATCCATTACTCCACCGTGTCACCCCTTGGCTACATATGCTTGTTAATTTTCTCCATGTGTCTATCTCAACTTATGTCTTGTGTTATACCCCAAACAAAGCCCCCCCCCATGACTGATATATGATACTGCAGAACAAGCAAGTGATCGAACCTTGTAAATCACAGGAAATAAAAACCTTTTATTTATTCCAACCACATCTTATCTCCAGTTGTCATTTCCACTTATGTTTCTTGTTAATAGTAAGGCCACTGTTACAGTAGTATACAGTATAGCTTGTAATATTTACTATGTACATATATATGATGTTCAGTCGATAGCAAGATATCTATATATAAATAAAATTAAAAAGGATAATATATGTAAAGCATATATGTATAGGATATGCATTGTGGTGTAATTGATATCAGCTTGGAATGAGAAATCAGAAAGTCAGGTTCATTACATTCACTTGCATGCAAATACCTTTTGGAAAGGTATGAATCCATTTCTACTGCCCCCAACTATGGGCTTAATAAAAGGACAGACTGGGTCCTATAGCTTTGGTTGGCAACCAGTCTACTGCAGAAAAAATGGCAAACTCCTGTGAGAATCAAAAGAGACATGATCATCCAAGCATGTATCATATATGGCACTCAACTGACTATGTATATTTACAAATCTAGCTATATATATATATATATATATATATATATATATATTTACACACACACAATGATCAGCCAATAATGTAAGTATATCTTATATTTATTAATGAATAGATACAACAATTAAGTGAATTACCCTCCAATTTACATTAGAAAAATGCTCCATAATAGTATACAATCTCCATTTTTTTTTCTGCATACTGCTTCTTCAGCACACCTGCTACTAAAAAGCCAACTCTTCACATATTCTTCAAGGTTGAATTTTGGCAGAGGCAATCCAGCCAACATAATAGAAGTCTTGCACACTGTGCAGATACATAGAAATACATGTCACAGCTGCTTCTTTCATGTTCTGCTGTCAATACCAGAATTGTATTTACAGCCATTAGCAGCTGCTGGAAATACTGCAGAAACTACTTTCCTTTTAGATTCCTTGAATTCTCTGATGGCACTGTGACAAAGCCAAATTGTTCTGCCATTTCTTCTTTATTATTTCCAAAGGTAAAAAGTGACTCTGGAATATTTTTAATATCTTAACATTTCAACCAGTTGCGTAACATTTTGTGTTTATCATTGGAAGCTGTTGTAAATTCAGGCAGACTGGATTTCATATTATTAACTAAAATTCTCAGAAACTCTTGTCAATATCTAGTGGATTCTTTACCAATTCTCAAAATTATTCCTTTAAACATCATCTGGTTTGTTGCTTTCTTCACTTGAGTCTAAAATTTTCCTGGTTTCTCTTCAGCATTTCAGAACCTTGACAGTTTGTTTTATTTCCTCATGTACTTAATTAAGTGCAAAAATTTGGTTCTGCAGTTTAAGTGATATTTCACACAAATAAAATGTTCAAGTTCAAATTATTCATGAAAGCTGTCATCAATTCTAATATATTTTAATCACCTTATACTTTGCTCTTAATGTACAAAGTCTTTAGACAATGCAGCTTGCTTTTTTAAAAATGCTGCTGAACAGTTTTATAACATTGATTGCTTGATTTTTTTTTTGCAGGTTATTTAAAGCCAGAAAATATTTTTAATGTAAGAATTTTTTTGGAATAATAATGATTTACTGATAAATTTCTACTAATTAATCCATAGCTGGAGGGGAGAAGAGGTAGATTAATACCTTTCCCAAGGGTATTTACACATAAGTGAATATAATGAATAGAAATATACTCTTATTTAATACATTATTACAGAGCTTTCTGTAATCGCAAGAGACACAATTGTTAGATGCAATATGGTGCATGAGAAAAAGCAAAGAAAAGGTTTTGTGCCTTCGAGGACATGTTTACATTGATTATGTGCAGCCACAAACAAGCATTTGTTGTGATTAGGACTGTCACACTGGTACAGCCAGAAATAGTGATTCCTAGGGATTAATATTGCAATAATAGCAAATATTGTAGTTAGTGTGATACTCTTTGTAACTCTTGTGTGACTACTTTTATCACCAATGGAAGAGTCCATGTTCAACACATTAGTGTAGCAAGAGTCCTGTGTCTTTATACACTGCAAGCAAACCTCATTGACAATTTTCAATAGGAAGTTTAAAAATCTGTTGTTAAAAATGGACTGAGATTATTAAAAAAAAAAAAATCTCCAACAAAGAATAATGATACTTATAGCCATTTTATTTAGACTTATTTCTAGCACTATTTGAAGTTTTCATCTATTTAACTGATGAAAAACTATTTTTAATGTCATAGTAACATTATAGATATTAACAATTATTATATATATATATATATATATATATATATATATATATGAATAAAAAGACAAGAGAAAAATCTATTCTTAGCCAATGAGTTTTGTCTTCTGAAGGACTTTATCAAGCAAATGTTTGATAAATTTGCCTTGATAAATTCCCTCAGAGGATGAAACATGTTGGCTAAGAATAGTTTTTTCTCTCATCTTTTAATCCATCTTGTTCTTTTACAGATAAACTATCTGAAAATAATTTACATATACATACATATATGCATATTGGAAAATGATATATAAATTTTTATATATCAGAACAATTTTATGAAAAATTATGACGAAGGGGAAAAATATTTTTGTGTGATGTGCTTCGTCATTTAGTACTACATTGGACTAATATTTATGTTGATGTGATTACACATGCACATGAGGGAGAGGGGACACAAATTTTAAATTAAAAATTTTTTTTAATCCATTAGTTGCTCACCATAATGAATTTGACTATAATTTTGATTTAAAAAATGCTACTTTAATTAAAAGAGAAAGCAATTTACTAATACAAAAATGTAGAGAAACGACTTTAATCTATAGATCATTCACAGTAAATTTACGTCCAGGTTCTTACAACTTTCACAGCAGATCCTCTATTATCACAATGTGGGGGTATTTAATAACAAAAGTGATAAAAGCATAAACAAAAGAAAAAAGAAACTAAATGAAATCACATAAACTATATATCCAAACATATATATTTTTTTAAAAAAAGAAAAAGTTAAATCAAAAATTTCCGCATCACCTCTCCTTCATGTGCCTATGTAATCACATCAACATAAACATGACTTTAGTCTAATGAAGTCCTAAAGGATGAAACATGTAAAACAAAGAATTTTTCATCCTTTGTTTTATATATATATATATATATATATATATAATAGCTGACCACATGTATTCGAGGATACCCATCTCTTAGGGCAGCTAACCAATCCAAATTGCAGATGCTCATTCAGGCACATTTGTGTTTGTTCAACACCCACAGAGCCCACCTGAGGTTTATACTGCAACTGTGCTGAGCAGACCTTAGTTACAGTTTCTGGGAGAGAAGCATGTTATCTAGTGTGATAAACAATCTGAACAAGGCCAGCACACTCAAACCCTCAGTCACGATGACTTGGGACTTTATGCTAGCCAAGATTTCCATCTACCCAATTTCACTCATATGGCTTGGGTCAACCTGTGGTATGGTTTTCAGGCAATTTCCAAAGGTGCTGCACGTTGGGGTCACTCCCTCCAGACTGATAACATCAGAAAGTCTACTTCCTGACAAATCAACCGTGGTTAGATTCAAACCCAGGTCTCATGGTCAGAAAGCAAACATTCTGACCCTCTCCACATATATATATATATATATATATATATATAGAGAGAGAGAGAGAGAGAGAGGAGAGAGAGAGAGGAGAGAGGGAGAGAGAGAGAGGGAGAGAGAGGGATAGAGAGAGAGGGAGAGAGAGAGAGGGATAGAGAGAGAGAGGGAGAGAGAGAGGGATAGAGAGAGAGAGGGAGAGAGGGGGAGAGAGATAGTGTGGGTGTATATCACTTTTCTCCGTCATTAGAAGTGTCCATGATACAGAAATGGGAAAAATGACATATTACATCTCTCTTTGTGTAATGTTGTCCAGGGTGGTAATTGAAATAATAATTAGAATGGCAACATACAAAGTATAAGGGTTTATTTTAAACAAGAACAATACAAGTAGATATTTATGAGTTCATCTGAAGCTGGAAAGCAAGCTCCCACCCCTCAGACCATAGATATTTATATAGACCATAGATGTTTATATTCTTATTGGAACAGTTCATTTAATAGAAGGGGTGTATCAGTTCTTTACATACTGAGGGTTATCAGTTTGTTCCCTACAGCATCTCGTTTAATGAAATAAGGCCACAACATGGTTATAGTGGAAATCAGGATTGGCTTTGTAGATAAATAACATTTTCAAGTAAGATATATTTAAATATATGTGTTTATATTTTATTATTTAAATTTTATTTTTAGTAAATAATTGGAGTAAACACTCCATTTATTTATTAAACAGTAAATTTATTTATTTTCATCTACTGGCCTGAATATTTGGGAAATCTTATTAAAGAAAAATATGTGCTCTCTGGCAGGATTTGAACTTGTGTTCTCCATTAGCAGAGGGAACCATTGATAGATCTGATGTGCTTTAACTGACTCAACCATTTTTTCTTTAATAAGATATAGTAATAAAATCTGTCAGATTAATTAAAAAAAAATTTCATCATCATCTCCATGTAAAATGAGAATGAATAGAATCCAATTCTGATTCGTAACATTCAATTTAAAAAAGTACAGCAATATTCTTTATTTTAGGATATTACATCAAAAACATATAAAAAAAAAAATGCTACACAAATGCAAACATATTAGAACACCTAATGAGATGTATTAATACGCATTGAAACATGATTGCATTTGTGTTTCATTTTATTTTACGTTTTTGATGTAATATCCTAAAATAAAAAGATATATATATATATATATATATAGATAGATAGATAGATAGATAGATATGTAATTGTTTTCATTGATAGCATGAGAACAAAGCAAAGGATCAATTATTATCTTTACTTCATTTTATTTTTAGTCTACAATTCAGAAAGTATTGAACATAAACAAGAAAATGCAGAGCAAAACAGTTTTTGAAATAAGTGCAACACAATTGCAAAATTACTTACAATTACAATTTTGATGACATGGTTACAGTAAACTAGTACATCTCATATATTACACTGGTTGACATTTTTTTTTTTACCCAAATGTTGGTGGGCAATGAGTTCCTGGGATATTTTTTTTACACTGAATCTGAAAATCAAGTCTATTTTGCCCCCATCAGATCACATTTTCTCAGTACAGATAATTTCTATTTTGCTTAAAATAGGCCAAAATGCCTAATTTGCATGGATATGTCACTGCTTAAATATGTGAGTGACATAGTTGAAACATTTTGTTTCATGTTAAAATGATTTATCATTCAAAAAAAAAAAAGTATCTAAATAATTTTCAAAATGAATTCTAAACTATTTCAGTTCAGATAAGTAGACCTGAAATTGCTTGATTTTATGAGAGATATCTCACTGGAAAAATGTTCTTGTGTCCTCAATGTTCTTAGCCTGTTAAAACTTTGTGATTTGTGTTTCTTCTCTACTTTTCATAGAAGAAGCTCTTTAGAAGTCATTCAAGAACAGCGATTTTAGTTTTTATTAGTAGTTTTCACTTTAAGCCTGAAACCGTCATAAGATTTTATCATATCACTTGTATTTACGGAGGTCTGGTATTGTCATGCAGTCTCTGTATAACATATATAGGAACTTCAATAAATGAGGGTTAGGTGAGTGTATTTGAGACTAGCAAGATTAGAATTTTCTTTAAATAGCCACAAAACACATGCTTAGCCAACTAGGCACTTTGCAGATGGGATGTTAACATGATTTCTGTTGGAGCATCAAAAGAGATCAACCTTTTCAAAAGCACCTTAGAGTTTCCAAGAAGAGAAGATTTATACTTTTGGATGGACAAAAATGAATGTATTTTTCATTCCTTTGTATCTTCTTTGTCTGTTTTGATTCAAAAATTGATGACACATGTTTGCCTTAATTTAATTTTGTGTGAGATTTTTCTGAGAATTTTTTCTGGACTGAAAATGCTGAAAATGCATTCTTTAAGTTATCGGGACATTTTTTCTTTTATGATAAGTTATTCTAACCTGAAAACGTTTATGGTTGGTTCTACTTGACCCTGGCATATCACTGTTAAATGCGTATTTTGGCCTATTTTAAAAAAAATAGAAATTATCTGTACTGAGAACACATGATGTGATGGGAGAAAAATGGATTTGATTTTCAGATTCAGCATGGAAAAAGAGCCCAGAAACATGTGCCCATTGCCCAACAATATTTGGGTCGAAAAAAATGTTGACTGGTGTAACAGAAATAATTTTTAAATGTATGTTGTGCCTGTATATTAAAAGAACATATTTATTTTGTGTGCCCAGCTTCATTTCTAACAGAATTATGGTGAGATTTCAAATACTGAACTTTTATGCCAGCAATTTAGACTTTCAAAAATTATCAAATGTTTGTCTATTATTTGAAAAGAGTAACAAACAGGGTTTGATTGTTTCACTTCATTGAATTTCACTGATATCAGGATTTTATAGAAATTTGTGGCAATCCTGTGTTGAACAGATTGTTCAGAGCCATTTTGCTAACAAGATTTGCCCATTTCCCAGTTGTGTTCTACTTTTCTTCATTCTCATCCTCATTAATAGTAAATTGAAATTTAGCCATTTAATAACAACTGTACAATAGTCTCAAAGTTCATAAATGACTACCTTGATTAGTTAGTAGCCATCAACATCAATGCAAGCAAGAGTCTCCACCAACTAAAGATTATGTCTTGCTGAAGACTTTGATGATAGTCAACATTATCATCATCTTCTATGTGCTGTGTACATTCAAGACATGGGTAATCATGGTTCTCCACAATCTCCTATCTCTTGTAGCACTAAGCAAAGCCTTCCACTCCCTGTTCCACTATCCATTTACACAAGCTCATCACATAGGTGGCCTGCTGCTTTCCTTTTCTCTTTAATATGTCCTATAAGTGTCAAATTCTCCAGTCCCTCCTTCCTCATTATGTTTCCAAGAAGTTTCAACTATCTCTTTCTGATTCTGAATATGTCTCCTTTTCTTTTTATTTTCCTTAAGACTACTTCATTGCTTAAGCACTCCATATACAATATTCTCAGCATCCTTCTGTAGAACCACATTTCTATTGCCCCCAGTTTTCTCCTCATCTGTGAGAAAAATGTCCAGCATTCACTGCCATACAAAAGTATTGTTATTACATAACAGTTTAGTACTCTTTTCTTCGTTTCTAATGAAATTTTCCTCTTTCTTAGTAGTTTGCTTAGATTTTGAAATGCATCTATTACTATTCTAATGCACATTCAAATTTCAGTGTCACATTTTTTATCCTCTGTTAAGACACTTCCCAGATATTTAAACTTTCATACTCGTTTGCTGTTGCCATCTAAAATTCATAGTTTGCATTTTGGTCTGTTCCTTTTGCTGACAACCATACATTCTGTTTCCTTACAGTTGAATGGTTAATGCTTTCTTCTTGTTTCCCTTTACTACCGTATACAGGAGGTCCTATAGTTTTCCTTCTGAGTCTGCCATCAACACATTGTCATCTGCGTATCTTATATTGATAAGATTGTGCCCAGTAATAATAAAGTAAAGTTTCCAGCTCCCTTGGAATAGCCTCAATGTAAAGGTTGAATAAATCTAGCAAGAGGACATATTTTAGTCTTATGCCCTTTCTTATTTTTGCGTACATACTCAATTTATTTTCTATCTGTATGCTGGTAGTTTGCTTCAACATAAATTTTGGATTATTCTAACGTCTTTCCCAAATACATTTAGTTTTCCCTACAGTTCAAATAGATCTTTATGGCATATCTTATCAAATGCTTTTGCATAATCTATTCAACATAGGTGTATATCCTTCTGTATTTGTATTGCTCTCTATATCTAAATATTGCATATCTTGTTTCATTGTCCTTTAAAAAAAAAAAAAAATGCAATGTTCTTGTCTTATTTCTGCTTTGCATTCTATTCATCAGAATTTGAATTATTATCTTTGTTATGTGGCTCATTAAGATGATTGCCCGATGAAGGTTGCACCTGGTTTCTTAGGTAATGCTAGAAAGATGGCTGTCCTAATGTCTTCCACTATGTTGCCACTGTTGTATATTTCATCTATTATTTCTGTGAGTTTGTCAGTGTCGAAATCATCTAAGACTGAAAGCATTTCTATTACGAACACATCTAGTCCAGCTGATTTGTCCCTCTTCATTTTGTGTCAATCTTACTTCAGACTTTAATATTTCTGGCCCTTCCATATTTTTGTGAATTGCAGGCTTTGTGCTCTCATTGTGAAATAGTTCCCTAACATATTCACTCCATCTTTGGACTATTTTTTTCTTTTATCAATGTTCCTGTTTTTGATTTTATACAACCTGCTGATGAACACACCTTTTCTCTTGTTAATTCTTTTATGCATACTTGCTTCAATGTATGAGGTTCATCCTTTCTATTTCTGTGCACTTTTTCATTGATCCATTCCTCTTTTGTCTGCTTACATTTGTTTCTTATTTCTGTGTTTTGCCTTTTGTACTCTTTACTATTCCTTGGCATTGTTTGTTGTCTCTTTTTCATAATCTTGAGAATTTTATCTGTCATCTACTCTTTTTCTTGAATTGTTTTTCTTGGGGGTGATCTCATTTGTCAACATCACTAGTGGTTCTCTCAACATGCTCTATTTTGAATCTGTAATCTCAAGTTAAATTTGTTTTTAACTGTCTATATACATTTCCTGGAAGCTTCGGTCATTTAGGAGTCTGTCATTATTTGCCATTTAGGCATTGTGTTGGTCTTCTTTATTTTCCATAGTTTTACTCTGAGGTAGCATACAAATGGAAAGTGATCACTCCCGCAGTCAGCACTCGGATATGTTTTACAG